TTTCCACCCGGCGACAGAGAAGTTCTTAATCAATTAAGGGTCATCGAAGGCGTATTACTTTTCGCTAAAGTAATTGCTAAATCCTTTTCGTGCAAACAAACACAAACCGAACCAAATATAGAGTCAGACGGTGGGAGTAAATATCTCGCCCTCCGGTTTCTTCAACAGCGACAAATTGCATTTGTTCTTTGCTCCGATTGCAGACCATTGTACATTATACCTTTTTCCCAAAGAATTAAAACTTTCTGCATCGCAGCGGCGTGTATACACCATCATTTTCTTCTTTTTTTTTTACTTTTCGTATATAATTGCAAGCGCGGATTTGAATATTAAAAAAGTTTCGCTAATTCGGAAGGCGTTTTTCATGAATTATATATGAACGGCCGCCGCTCGTAAATAGTAGCAAAAGAAACGCATGCACACATATACTCGCCTATTACGTCATTTACATTCGCAACGAATGTCCTCCTTTTTCACTCTCGTATTTTCATATTTTCGTATGTAAGTTGGAAGTTCAACGGCGTTTTAAGTAAATTAAAAACTAGCATCACACACACAAAAAAATATATAATCATAACAACGCACATACACTCGCTTAGATCATAGCAGGCAACGAACGTGAAATGAAAACAAAACGCATTTCTATTTCGCTTTTACATATACATTTTTATTTTGTAATTTCATCCTCTTTATGTAAATATTAGCATCAATTGCATTAACTCGTTATATTGACATCAATTATTTTCTATTTTACTCAATTATTTTTTTAATCAGGTACAAAATGAATTTCTATTGGTTTATATTTAATTAATTTTGTTTTTTTCCAATGTTATATACATTTTAATTACAAACAATGAAATAACATTCTTTCAATTGTGTTTGAATTTATTAATAAATTTTATTAGTTTCATAAATGTTTTAATAAATATTCAAATTTCAGCTTAAATGAAAAATACATTATTTACAATATTAACTAAATTTAATGATTTGTCACGTACGATCGAACGTAAAAAGTAAATCATTATTTCCCAGTTCGATTTGTGTATAAACAAATAATGTTATGTACTAATTTTTATTTTGCTCAATCAAAATTACTTTGTAAAGATATTTTCAAACCTAACTATATTAAATCTTGATCGAAAACGCACAATGATACCTCGCAGTACTGTATATAAATTTTAGCTTATAATATGTGAATATTAATTTGTTATAAAGTGAAATAATATTTCCTGTATCAACGAGAAATTTCGTTAGTTTTATCTATTATTTATAAAAATATATAAAACATTTAGAACACTGCATTTAATGAAAATACATTTGTTTAAACGTATTTTATGACTACTTTCTTGTAGATTCAATTAGTTTGTTTTTAATAAATAGTGGTTTTTTATCAATTGAAAATAACACAATTTGCTTTGCTATCTTTAGATATACAGGTATTCCCCGACTTACGAACTCCCGGACTTATGAACAAAGTTCTAAACACTCTAACTTGTTACAAGGAGATATATAGTGATAAAAATAATTAACTGTCCAAACAAAAATTGATAATTTCTTTAATAAAATATAATATTTTTGGAAGATGTACTATCTGTTTTGTTGCATTTGTTTCTTTTTGTCGTTTTTTATTAAATAATTGTGATGTCTACATTGAAAAGTATGTGTAAGTAATTTGTTTATTTTTTTGTTTCTATTTTTTCAAATTTATGCAGTCAGTAATACCGAATTTAACATATATAGTGAAAACCATGATAAAGTGTGGTAAGATAATTATAATTTTAAATATTTAACATTCCCCCGACTTACGAACAACCATTTGGAATGTAACTAGTTCGTAAGTCAGCTGTATTCATGTATATAGTTTGAATCTCTTGAAGAACTTGAAATACTCGAGTTCCGAGTGGATCGTACGCACGTGTTGTTGATTTAGAGATCTTGGAAAATTTAGTGTGCACCATCTATATATAAATTTGTCTATTGTGCTGTCCTTTCTTGGCCATCCACAATTTTATATAAATCAAGTGTTTATCATATTTTTTGATAAATATTTTAATGAAAAGAAAATTTTGAAAATAACACTTAATTCTCATATAATACAGTAATATCTCGCATAGTGCGGCTTCGATTAGTGCTGATTCCCTAATTCAATTTTAATTGAGTAAAATTAAAATAAATTCTAAAAAAATAATTCACAAAAAAAAATCTCCTTTTGTGCTATTTGTGTTTTTGCTATTAGTCCGGTTTCAAACAGTGCGAAACCGATTACCCGCACTATATTAGATACAGCTGTACAAATGATATTTTATCCTAAAACAATTTTAGTTTCACACAAATCAATGATTATTCCTTCAAAAATGGATTATAATTACAGAAAAATGAAAATTATTCTTTCTTATACTACTTAATTCCATTTTGTCTTCAATATAAAGTAAAAATCGTAAAGTGGACAATCTAAAACTAATTCTCGTTTCAAGTTCCAATAAGATTTCCATAATTTTTTTCAATATTGTTAAAAACTGAATGAATATTAGTTGTGATTGATGATGACATTTTCAACTCCATTTATTACACTAATCTAAGTAAATAGTGTATTTCTCTATGTGAATAACGTTGTTAAATGTGGAGATGCGACGTTAACGTGGAATATCTGGCACTGCATTTCATTTATCAATGAAATTACACTGGGACCGTCGCTCCGCATAGGCAATTCCCTGTAATTTCTGATATGCATTCTTGTCGTTATAAATCTAATGCATCCTGCTGTTTTTATCAGCCTTTCGAATAAATATCCAACAATTATCTTTGCTTATTACAAATTTAAAAAAAAAAGCTTTGAGATTTGATGGTTTTTCTTTTTATTATATAAAACTATTAAAAGTTTCTTGAAAAATAACATTAATATAATGAAATTCAATTGGATTATTACGAGTTTAAGAATGTAATTGTAATTTTGAAACAAAGTTTCTCCTTGTTCTTTTATTTTCTATATATATTTTACAAAATAACTGTTGTATAAAAAGAGTAGCAGATTTTCATTTAAATTTTGAGCGAAACAAAATAATAAAAATCAATTCAATTAAACCGTTCATTGGACTACAATGTACGCGCTTTAATCCAATATCAAATATAATTAATTGATAGTTTGCAAAACAGTGTCTCTTTCAATATGAAATATTTGAATTCGCACTGACAGTAAATAATGGACGTATTTGTAACCAGGAAAGCGTTTTTCTGTGCAAACAAATATAAATACAGTGGAGTTTAATCCGTTCCGGATTTTTACTCGTATAGTGAAATTCTCTTACAGTGAATTCTCATCGTCACTCGTTATGCAAAACGTCGCTCGTTAAGCAAGTAATTTTTTTTACAATTAATTTTGCTTGTTAAGCGAGGATCCACTGTATATATCATACACAGTTGTGAATTTCGCGTGTGTTTAGTTTGTGGGCGGCGTTGAAACTGTGCCGACTCAGAAACACAAGCCAATAAATATTGAAACTAATTTAATTAAAGTCGCGAAATAAACAAATATCGAATAGTTTAATTATCAGCAGGACTAGGTTATTTGCAAAATATTCGACGGGTGGATGCGCCGGGTTAACAATTCTCATCCTCCTCTTCACCCCCCACCAACATCCTCTTTCCACCGAATGATCACTCAAATATTGCATTAAACGCAATAGCGCTAATAACCGCAGCGCTTTTTTGTTTCCATAACTACGTAATTGCTGTTAACATGATTTTCAACTCAATTTATATTTTAAATTATAATTTTGATTGTTATAAAATATTTCGATCATCAACATTTCATTTTATATCACAAAATTTTTTGATTTTCTTTTTTTTGTTTAATTTAGCTTGAAACTAACAAAAAATGTTTCTATTTTTTTATTACTTTTTCTTATATAAAATATTACTACTAGAGTATTTTACTGCATTTTCACTAGATTTGCATAGCACGTTTGTTAACACAATTTAATACATAATAAATGAAAATTATGTTAATAATAACTTGTCAAAATTGTAATTTTTTACATTATTATTTAAAGATTAATTAATACTTAAATGTACTACATTTTGAGGACATGATTTGGAAAATTCTACACATCGATTCAGAATATTGATAAAATAAAAAAGTTTTTTTTACTAATTTTTTAATAGAAAATTTGATTTTTGTTATTTAATTACTGAAATATTATAAATACAATATAATTTAATAAATTTTCATGTTTTTGTTAAACATTTAAAGATTTACAATGAAAATTCAAACATTTTTGTTTCGATATTAAGTTCATAATTAAATATAATATCATGTAATATTTAAACGTTTTATTGCATAATATAAAATTTCTCGTTTTAATTCAGTCTCTATAACTATATACTATAACAAAAACAAAATAATTAGTTTGAAACTAGAAAATTCCATTTAAAAAAAAAAACTTGGATTTGTTATTTTATGCAATTTTTGTCATACAAAATTCAAAATTATTTTTAAATAAACTAAATTATTAATTAATTATTTACACTACAAAAAAAGTATAAATTAACGTTAAATATTTATGGTTTAGTATGATATTTTTTGTTTGATGCATTTAATTACTAATAGAATTAAGGAAAGCAAAATAAAATTCATGGTAATTTAATTAAAATTTGATAAACGAAATTGCTTTATATCTACTTCTTTGCATAAGCTAGCAAATTGAAATATAGGAAGATGAACTAATGAAATGAATATATTAGTTCTTTGTGTCTTTCCCGAATTCATTAAATGCTTTTGAAGTTGATATGAAAAATTGTGTTGTAATAATCGGGTGCAAGAAAAAATGAACTGAGACTGGAGAGGTAAGTCTGTTTACACTGGAAACCGCTTTTTATTATCGTGGAAATTGCACGAAGCGTAAACAATCTAATAAATAATTAGTTTCGTACGGAAATATTGAATTAAAAAAAAAACTCGCGGAACTTTGTTAATCAACGTTAGGCTTTGCTTTAATACTTACAGTTCGCTTCTCTTTTGTTTTCGTTTTACGTTGGAGTCCTACGCTGAAGATGATCTTCAGTGGTAACGGCGTGTGTATGATGCTTTGAGTCGTCTTGAGTGTTTGGTGACTGGTGTTTAGCACAAGCTTGGACGTTTTGTTGTCACAGGATCACATTTTATCCTTTCCGAGGCGCCTACGGATTGCCAAGCGGTGGGGATGCAAGGCCCGCCATTGGTCGAGCACTCGCGACCCTCGAAATTCGCACAAAACACCCTTCTGGTGCTCTTCTTCATGATCATCATCAGCACCACCACCATCTCTTCTCGATCCCATTCTTCTTCCCACACTCTCCTTCTTACATTAATAATTTACAGCGCACTTTTATTTTTCTATGCATAATTAAATGCTTCTTGGCATTATTATAAAAATCGAATCGCCGTGCGAACAGAACCATCGAATCGGATTAATTAAACCTTTTCATTTTAAAACTCTCACGTTTATCCTCAAAAATTTTTTTAAAAATTGTTTAAAACAAATCTTTTACATCCTAAAATTTATGAATTACTTTCTTATAAGAATATCAGTATTAATTAAGACATTCTATAGACATTTATTTAATTTTTCAAGATCATTTTTAATTATTATTTGTAAATGCAGTAGAATCTCGAATAATTCGGTTTCCGGACAAAAAAATGCTCTAGCATTCTAATGAATAAAATACAATTTCTCTACTAAATTGTAACCTAATGAAGTACTTAAAAATAATTCATTTTGTCACTCTTTTTCGCATGTTTACAAGTGATTGGCAGCTGCAGTTGATTTATCATTACGTAGATAATGCGTTTCATATCCTTATATATAATACAGTGGAACCTCACTTAGCGACCATAATCCGTTCAAAAATTTTCAGATTTTTACTAATATAGTGAAACAAATTTTCTCATATAAACTAATGTAAAATAGGATAATGCGTTCCATGCCAGAAGAAAAAAGTATATTTCGTTTTTTAATGATTTTGCTTGTCATATCTATGTTTATTTTTATTCGGAGACCTCCTAACACAAGTTTGGAAATATGTGTGATCAAAAACAAGACTAAGATGCAACTAGAATGACTACTAACACCAAGAATTCTTTGACAAATTACATACGTTGAAGATAGTTTACGTTTTGTTTATAATACTTATATCGAACCGGGTTCTCTTTATACATTTAATATTTTTGTTTATTTAAAAAAGCGTACATATTATAATGATGATTTGTTTGTTGTGCTTTTCCAGCAAACACAAATTATATTTGCAATGTATAGTCGGTTATAAACAAAGATGATAAAAAGAATGAAAATGGTTAATATAATCAAAAATACACATAATATGTGTACACAAGTTTTGAAAATGATGTAGCAAAGTAGCAAATGATGCATAATCCGGGACTTATCTTCTCCTCGTCGCTCGTTATGCGAAACATCGCACGTTAAGCGAGTTATTTTTTTCTTACAGTTTATTTTGCTCGTTAAGCGAAATGCTCGTTATGTTCTTTAATCCAGGTTCGACCATATTTCTAATTGCCATTACTTTCTTATCGATTATGCAAATTTGTAAAATGCACTCTTTTCGTGTCCTTTAAGGATTTGTTTAAGGTTTGCAACCGCAGTTTATTCATCTCGACGCACTTATCGCGTTTTCGTTAACATATATGGCAATACAGTGGAACCTCGCTTAACGAGCATAATCCGTTCCAAATATTACGAATTTTTACTTGTATAGTGAAACAATTTTCCCCATATAAACTAATGTAATATAAGATAATGCGTTACATTTTGGAGTCATTTTTCTTACAATTTATTTTGCTCTTCAAGCGAAATGCTCGTTATACGAGTTTCAACTGTATTTATAATATTTTCCGCCACTTTATTTAGTATTGAAATGTATTTAAAAACCAAATTGTAGAAAATGTTTTTTTAAAAAAAATCAAGTGTGAATTAGAATTTTTAATTTACAAATTTTAACATGAATTTGTTCAGATATTATATATATATTAAGACTAATTATATTTATTTTACATTTATGAATGTTATTTTTATTAATATTATATAATTTAACCTATGGGCAAAAATTTATTAAATACAAAAAAATATAACAAATTATTAAATTTTATAACAAACCCAGATTAATTCTTATAATTTAACGTCATTTAAATCTGATTTTATTGCTCAAAACAATCTGTGCTATTTTTTTTAGCTAGTAGAACAAATTGGTCTCTCGCATATGTCATAAAACGTTACTGTTAACAAGAAAACTCTTGCTCTAGTTTGGACAAAAAAAAAACAACTCTTTCTTTTGGATTTGAAAATTCGTTCATTAGGTTGTGTTTCAACAGGCATTTTAACCTGCATGTTAATTGCTAACAAAATTCTAAAATTTCGGGAAAGTTATAGTTATTTATAGTTATGATATCAGTTTTTTTAATCATCCACTGTGGTGCATACTGGATATCACTTTGAAATGCAAATATTGATGCTATTCCAAAAACGTATTTGTTATAAACCTATCGTTTTGACTCAAAATACACTATGTAATAAAATAAGTGCACTAGAACAGTGGTCCCCAAACCCCGGTCCGCGGATCAAATTGTACCGTGCCGCCCAAGGAACATATGCGACTTTCCATGGACGAGAGGTTATTTATGTTTTTATTATATTCTGAATCCATTTTTTTGCAATTTTTGCATTATTAAGTTGGGTTTTTATAAAAATAAAAAGTCCATTGAAAATACTATTTCATATTTATCTTATTTTTTTAAGTCCTTGTAGTGGTCCACGAGATTCAATAGTTTGAGTTTAGTGGTCCGTGAAATCAAAAAGGTTGGGGACCGCTGCACTAGAATACTGGAAAAGCTATATTGTCAACATCCACAATTAAATTACAATAGAATACAAATGAAAACAAATATCAGGTGGGTCAATCTGTCATATCCGTAGTACTTACTGGTTAAGATTTTTGTATACGATGCATGAATTAATAGAATATGTTATCAATTTATAATTTTTGGTAAAACATCTAGTATTTCATGATTTATTCTTAGTAAAGTAAAAAATGTAAATTTTATATACATATTGTGAGTTAGAATGTTCACAAATATGATAAGTATATGATACACAAAATTTCATTAATATTGATTATTTCTTAATAAAATTTGTATTTGAATAAATATTTTTTCTATATTCTAAATATGAACGCAATACAATAATATAACAACAAAAATTACATTAAAATAAACTGCAAAAAAGGGCTATTTGCCAGTTTAGTCAATATTATTTTAATTTACTAATTATATAATTCTAATAGTGAACTAAGTTTTAAACACAAAAGCATTAATAACATTTAATATCAATAATATTATATTACTTTCCGATAATATTTAATAATATTTTAGACTCTCAATGTTTAAAACAGTGGTTCTTAACCTTTTAGTAGTCGCGACCCCTTTAAAATCCTAAAATATATTCGCGGCCTCATTAAAATTTTAAAATATTTTCATTTACTAAGAATAATAATGAAAAAATAAATCCGAAAAACGAAATGTATAATATTATTTTATATAATCGGTAATTTTTATTTTAAAATTACGATGTGCCACATTAATGAGACTTTTGTTGTTGAATTCACTTCACTAATTTGTCTATTCGCACTTCAATTGCACCGTTACACAAAGCTATTCGCATCCAAGAGTCTATTCTGTGTTAATTACGTAGTTTTGTTTTAATATTAACCATTGTGGAAATTCCATTTCGCATAGATTATGTTATAGCAAAGGAATGAAACAGGTGCGGATTTCCTTCCGAATATGTATCAAAAATTGTACTAAGCTTGCTTTCTTCAAAAGTGAATTCAAACTTAAATCTATTGTCAATTCAAGCAGACTGTCATCGTGGGTTGGTGATAAATTTATATTATCCCAGTTATTATAATAATAAGAAAAATATTTATCAATGTTTTCAATTAATTTTTGAAGATGACATTGAATTAAATCATTTGTATGTTCTTTATCAAATTCGCAATTATCTGCAATCATTTCAGAATAATTTAGAAACGTTTCGAAACATTCGATTCTATTCTTCGAATCCATTTACGTAGTTTCATTTTCATCAACTGTAATTTGTCTCGCATGGAAAACAAGTTGTATTGATTTTCTTGCATAGATAAATTTAGTTAGTTTAGAATGTAGTAGATGTCTGCCAAGTAAGAAATTTTTGCAATCCATGTTTTTGTTGTCGAAATTAAGGCCAAATTTAATTTTTTATCGTTTAGAAATATCTCATGGCAATATGTCGCACAAATGCGAAATGCAATGAACAAACAATGCTTTATCAGATTGTCTGTAATTAAAATATTTCGTGGAAAATATGCAAATGAATGTATATAGTGTAGAAATCATAAACCTAGACTTATAGAAACTACAGTGGAACCTCGCTTAACGAGCACTTCGCTTAACGAGCAAATAAATTGTAAGAAAAATGTGCAAAATATGCGTTCAATTTTGCGAGTCATTTTTCGTATCCTATATTACATTAATTTATATGGAGAAAATTTTATCAAAATCCGGAAAGTTTGGAACGGATTATGCATAAAAAATCTAATATTATTTTTGCGTCCCTTCGAGTCCCCTCGGTTAAGAATCGCTGGTTTAAAATACCCTTGCATTTGTTGAAAGCGCACTAATCGAAGTCTTTATAACCGCATAAAAAATAAATAGCACAAAATGATTCTGGACTGTTCATAGAAGAAAAAAAAAATATACAAAAAAAACCGAAGTATAGTGAATCCGCACTGTGCGAGGTATTGCGTGTCAAATTTTGTAATGGTTACATTCAAAGATTTAGTATAGTTTAAACAAATATTGGCTTTTAATATTTATAAAAATTAAAAATAATGTTGACAATGGAATACGTAGTAAATATTGCAGTTAATTGAAACTCCTTAACAACGTGTTCTCGAATTTCGCGAAGATAATCTTATAATGAACGGATGGAGGATAAATCGTATAAATCTTGTAGGATTGTGGGGTTGTGGAGGCGTCGGCAAATGCGCTTTTATTTAGTGGACTTAAAGTTAGCCGGACGATAATTCATGACCAATAATTATCGAGAAAACGATAACTGCAAATTATCATGTAATGAGCGACCTAAAACGTCTCTCCGCCAAAATTATTATTTACTTATTCCCGGGGGTCGCGTTGCTCGACCGGCGACTGCAGCACCGTTCTTTAATGCATCCTAATTAGCGATTAACTTATTAAATTACGGTTTATGGTCAAAGAGGGTTGTGTAGGTTTTGGTGTTGTTCTTTTGTAAGGAGGAAGAGTATAAGAATGGGGTTGGGTGGATATTCTGTATTGGCGCGTGCTGGATATACACTTCAGTGAGGGATGCATTTCTGCGGGGATGTTAAACGCGTAAAAACGATAAATATGGATTAAGGCCAAAGGATTTGATGGCTCTAATACGGCCACACGATACAGGCAACTGCATTGTTGCTCACGGACTCTCACATTATGTGATTATGGATGGAAGTCCATACAACTGACGGACACACACACACAAGTCGGGACGACGACTTTCGACAAAGCAACAATAGCCGTTCTGAGTGCCCGGCGTATCCACACATATTTTTGACACTACAAAAAAATTCTACTAATATCTCATGCAATTTATAAAGATTCTCTCGTTCTTCTAACAAATTTCCAATAATAATCTACAAAAAATGCATCCTTGCATCATATTTTTTTAAAATTCAATAATTATATAATAAAAAGTGTATTTTGTGAGAGAAATAAATTACTATAAATTTGTCTCGAAAATAAAATTAATATGGCAACACATTCATTTTCTAGTCAAAAATGATATTTTGAAGATATTGACCAATAAAACGAGAATAAACGAATCTATCTTAAGCATTTTTGTGTCAGTGGGACCATGAGACCACATAAAGATTAAATATTGTCATGTGATCCAGTATGTGTAGACAAGAACCATAACTTTGGTCACGTTCTATGAGTGCTTGGCTTTGATAAACTGTAGTCTTCAACGATTTTGCTTCAGAATGCATCTGAGTGGTGACCAATAAGTATAAATTTTATGCCAGTACATGCCAGTTTTTGTGTATAAATGCTCTAAAATAAATTATGGTAGGTATGTAATGTATTATTATAATGTTATTATCATTCATTTAATATATACTGCATTTGTTTTAGCGATATAATAAAATACAGTTGTATTAGTTGACTTTTTTTTTAAATTATATAAAATACATTTTTTTTCAGTTCTACCTTACACAAAGAAGTAAGGTAGAACTGTGCCAACAATCAGTTTAACATAATGTTTTTTAATCATATAAATACACATATAATAATACACAGAAGTGCTTTTTATTTCCCAGTGGTTCCGCAGTGAAAATAAGCACATTTTTAACCTAATTTATATATATATATATAAATTATATTATTAATTAATTAAAGTTATTTAAAACTAGTTACAATTAGTTTTTTTTTAATATATTTAAAATTACAATTAAATTCCATCAATATTATTTGTGTGACTTAAAAACTACGAAGTTTATTAATTTAAATGTCCCGCGATATTTTAACTGTAAACTCAAGTGTGTCGTGAAATAAAAAGAAGAAATACAGTGCTTTTTTTTTTCAATTTATTTCAATCCATGGATTCGTATAGTTTTTCAGATATTTTCTTTTATTCCTTTTCAAGGTCTATTTGATTAAACTTCGATCATTCGAAACACCGATAATATTTTAATCTCAAGCACTGTTTAGTGTCAGAACTATTATTGAATATTCATTGAAAACTGAAATTCTAGAGCAAATTTGTTCTGTGCTGCAGTTCCACGAATTATACGCGACGATGTAAGTCCGTCGTCGCAAATCCCCTTCTTGGCCGACGTTACGTGTTTCAATGCCGAAAACAGATTGTTTATGTATCCCGGTCCCAGATAATGGACCTACGGCTATTGGTTACTGTTGTCTTTGGATCAACGCAAACTGCGATAATCTCATTATAAAATCCGACTCACAAATCCCAACAAAATATTATTATACATAAATAATAGAAATATAATACGCATTCAAAAATATCACCAAAATCATGTTAAATTTCTTTAAATCTTTTAAAAATTAACTGACTTTTAGTTCTTCAATTCAATTAAATGTAATTAATTATTAATCTGTAATTAATTAATTATTTCAATATTTGTATATTCCTCGTATTGTTAGATGTTGGTGTATTTATCTTCATCTGCACCTCCAAACTAATTTAGCTTGTGCCATTTCACGAGCTATTTATAAAAAAGTTGCATTATATGCAACACTATATACACTGAAAGTCGTTGATCTGTCTTAAGAAAAATCCTTCGATAATTAGTCTTTATGAATTAAATGATTTTTAAATATATTAATTATGATTGTACATTTAAATTTTGAATATTTGCAATTACTTTTTATTAATAATACAGAAATGTATGTTTTCGAATTCGAAAATTGTTTGTATGGTTATGTACGATCGTCTGAAGTTGGCAACTACAGTGCCTTCTTTAATCATTCAGTTATATCCAATTTTATCATTTACCATTTGTAATATGGCGTGTGAAGTTTGAAATTTGTGTTAAAAAAAATATGTGAACATTTTCGTCCTTAACTGTAGCTAGTCCAATTGGAAACGTACAAAGAGGAAAAGTATAAGGGACAGGGAGTGATAATTGAAGATAATATGTTGAACCAGACGAGCACGGAAGCCGCGTTCTCGGCCACATACGTGGATAACTACTTAGATTGTGTGGAAAACCTCCCCAACGACCTGCAAAGATTGATATCCAGGATGCGAGAACTGGACGTTAACTTCATAGGTACGCGTTACGATCATCCATTGTACGCATACAGCGATTACTAATCAGAAATTCTTGTTTTTTTTTACGAACAGCGCACGTTCGATTTGCCCAATTTCAGAAGGACTTGCTGGATAGTACAGGGCTTGAAAACAATGCTCGCGTTTCTAGGGCCTACTTCAAGATGCAGCAAGCTCTGATCGCTGCCCAGGAGATTGGAGATGAGAAGATGAGCCTTGTGCAGACCATCCACGGCACCATTGAGTCCAAAATGAGAATGCTAGAACAGAATCACAGAAGTTTAGGTCAGTTTACTATTTACAATAACATATTGCATTGTGCTGTTAATTGATTATGGCATTATGCTGGACTGTTTGAAAACAGGCTAATTAAGGAACTAAATAATATGAAAAGAAATTTATTTTTTAAGCTAAATAGAACATTTTTTGTAGTAAATTCAATTGAATTTTTTATGTTCATAAAAAAAATCTTTTTTTTCAGATATTGGAAAAGATGATAATTCAGTGAGTGAAAGCAAAGAACCACAAACGACCATAAACAATGCGACGACAACGCCTGTCGTCCCTTCTAGCGAAAGGACAACGAAAAGATCGCGACGTTCAAGGCACGACACCTTCACCGGTTTGGACTCAAATCAAAGCGATAATGCAGTCGCGGAACACGTACTCCGAAGCCAGGTGTCGACATCGAACGCCGCGAATACCAGCACCAGCAATAAGAAGACCAACAACAGTAAGATATTCTTAAACATCATCTGCAACAACGTATTGTCATTTCTGTTTCGTTTAGAAGCTGGTAGCAAAAAGGGTAAAAAGAAGACAAAGTCAAATCAAGTGCAACGTGAAGAGACGCCTCCAAGGGAGGAGGAGACGACAATAGATCCTGACGAGCCTACCTACTGTTTGTGCGACCAAATTTCCTATGGCGAGATGATCATGTGCGATAATGACCTGTGTCCAATTGAATGGTTCCATTTTTCATGTGTTACTCTTACAACTAAGCCAAAGGGACGTTGGTATTGCCCAAAGTGTCGGGGTGATAGGCCCAATGTGATGAAAGCAAAATCGCTTTTCCTCAAGGAGTTAGAAAGATATAACAAAGAGAAGGAGGAAAAAACATAATAAGTATGTCATTTCAAAATGAAAATTAAAACAGATTATAATAGATTTTTAATATGTATAAACTAATTTGACGCAGATAAGTATTTTCCTTTTTTTATTAAAAATAAAATATTAAATTTATTGCTCACCTCTAATGGTGTACTTGATGAACTTGTTTGTTCGTTTAATTTTACCTCACCTGATGCTCTCGTGACATTTGTAGAGATAACTTAACCATTCGTCGTCGCAAGTGATGTTGGTGGATTTCCAGTTGATTGCTATCGTGTTTGAAGTTTTAAAATGACGGATGGACGTTTTCCAGGACCAATAAAATTCATTGTCGCATCACTTTAAAAGTCAGCAACATCCTATAAGAAACTTGGTTGGACTGTTTCGAAGAGGACGTTATCTAAAGTCGTGGTAACGTTTCAGGGCAATCAAAATATCTTGAGGCGGCTCCTATTAATATTAAATATATTTACATCAATTCGAAGTAGCTGTAATGCGTTTACTTCTGATTGTGTGAACAACATAAACATATTAATTTAAAATAATAGCGACCTTTTTAAAGTTGTGAAACTGTTTAATAAGATTTTAATTAATGTCCAAGTGAACGACCATACTTGGCATTTCCTAGAAGATATATTTTTTCAAAATGAGTAATTGTGACTACAGAGTTTTGATATAGTCAATTTATTTGTTTTTCGTGTAATGATACCCAGGTCTGTCCAAATGAGGACCTTTTAAAATTTATAATAAAAATATTGTTCGAAAATCACAGCAATTTGAATATATATCCAGCCATCGTGACAGTTTGAATAGCCACTGGTTGCTTAGTTACCTGTTGTTACTGGTAACAGCTTTTTTTTGTCCTGCATTCCACAGGTTATTGATTTTCTCTGAAGAATTAGGATAGAAGAAACAAAAAAAACAAACATCACGTAGAAAAACATTCAGAGTAGCTTTTCCACTTGAAAGGATTGAACATACTTTTTGTTTTAATACATTTATTTCAGTGCGATTGCGAGATAGGGGTGTAGAGATTCCGGAAAGAAACGGCAACACGGCCGCAGCATACAGACTGCGCTGCAATTGCAGTTCTCAATTCATTTGATCAGTGAATATGTCAGCGGCGCAAGCATTCTGGCAAGCGAAGATGTCTTTGCCGCCTGTAGTATGCAGAGGATGGCCGAGATCATCTCGTATCCTAGACCAACACTTCGGGGTAACTCTGGACGTGACCGACAGTTTTATCCCTATTGCTGCACCGGAGGAGTTCTGGAGGATGCTGGGACGTAGGAGATTCTTTAGGCTTTGGAAGACGCTTGCCTCAACCGGCGACAGAGGATCGACGGTCATCATGGACGTTTATAAGTTCCTGGTAAACCTGGACGTGCAACAGTTCATGCCGGATGAGATTACGGTGAAGGCGACCGGTAACAACGTTATCACCGTCGAAGCGAAGCACGAACAGAGGAAGGATAGGCACGGTCTCGTCTTCAGGCATTTCGTTCGAAAGTACTTCGTGCCACAAGGGTACAACATCGAAGGCATCCTATCTGAGCTTTCCTCCGACGGAATGCTGTCCATCGTCATACCACGGGAAGAAGAGTACAATCAGGCACCCATATTCAAATTCGGAAAGTTGGCCATCAAGGACAAATAAAGACGTTGCGCGTTGATCTGCACTTCATCTCCCCCATGTACATGTATTAATTGTCAATTAAACCGCAGCCTTTTTTTGTAACGCTTTGAAACACTCCTAGCCAAATGTAATACAAATAATTTATTAGAGACCTGATTGTTCTTAAGTTGATGAATGTAAATAAAAATATATATTACGTGAAAGTTATTATAATTCCTAATGTTCCCAACAATTTCAATCAATTACAATTTCATAAATTGGTCCAACTTATTGGAGCATCCAGGCAATGCGATACAGAATTCCCGGAACTGCTCCTACGCTGGTTGCTATGTTACCAGTGGTCACGGGCAACAGTTTGTTTTGTCACATATTCCACAGGTTATTGATTTTCCGCAACAAACTCTTCTTCATTCGCGTTTCATCGATAAATGTTCCAGAAACAATTTGCGTCATTCCATATATATTACAGGATTTTGTTTTCAATATTTCTACTACACTCTTGTTTGTTTCAATTTCTTTGCGAAAGATGTAAGAGGATTCTAGAAGATTCGTGACGGCAACGCGGCTTCCGTATAAAAGCCGCGCTGCTGCTGCAGCTCGCTTCCATTCGAAGCTGTTAATATTCCGAAAGCTGCAGACCGAAGATGTCCTTCCTACCGTTGATTCTGCCCAACCCGTACAATTCAGCGCGCCTGTTGAACCAACAGTTCGGATTCTCCCTTCAGGAGGAGGAGGATTATTTCGCGCCGTTTACCTCGCCTGCAGAGTGGCGAGCTATGATGCAACGGTCCGGAAATTATCGGCATTCTGCGACCGACGTCGACGACGAATCCTCGATTAACATGGACAAAGATAAGTTTCAGGTGAATCTGGATGTGCAACAATTTAAGCCAGAAGAGATTTCTGTCAAAATCACAGGGAAGAGTGAGATTACTGTGGAGGGAAAACACGATGAGCTGCAGGACGAACACGGATTCATCTCCAGGCATTTCGTGAGGAAGTACATCGTTCCGCAGGAATGCAATATCGAAGAAGTCATTTCGCAGCTCTCCTCTGATGGTGTCTTGTCCATCACCGCACCAAAGGACAAGTCACCAGACAGCATCAACAAAGAGATCACTATCACTCAGACCGGAAAACCGGCCATTGATATCCTCGAGAAGAAGATATGAAAAAGATTTTCTTCGCTCACGCTGATTCAACAGCCGTTGAACTGTAAACGTTTCTTTCAATTGTCTAAGATATTATTTAATTGGAATTAGAGTAGTTTAATTAGATTACATGGTTTAGTAATACAATAAATATATTATTTAATTATATCTTCAATTATTTCAATTCATTGCATAAATCCTTTCCAACTTTTTAATTTTCATGACCTAATTAAAGATTTTGCAACAAAAAACGCCAGACATTTTTTATAATTCTCTACACCCTATACAATATGTAATAATATGTTTTTTAATTCAGCCGCTCAAAACTAATAATTTACAATCATAATCTTTGCAGCTGTATTGAAACCAAATTATATTAAAAATCATACTTAATTTAAAAGTTTATTGATACTATATAATCAGGATGCGAGGATTTGCATCATCTGTAAATTTTTTAATCGTAAATACCGGGATGTGGAGGTGGTCACGGTCCGTGCACTTAATGATCGATGTTTGTTGCTATGTTACCGGTTGCTACCAGCAACAGTTCATTTTGTTATGCACTCCGCTGGCTATCGATTTTGAATACAATATAAATAAAATAAAATGAAGAACAAACCAATCAGCCCGGATGTCCTTTTGACGCTGGCAGATTTATCGATTGATGATATCCAATTCGAAAATGCGCAGGTAAATACATAGAATCTTATGGAAATAATATGAAAATGTCCGGATAATGCCGAACATCTACTATCATGAACAATAATCCCATTTTGCAGTAGAATTGCTACGAGGCTGTAATTCTAGAAGGAATCTAGATGATTCTCGTACGGCAACGCGGCTCTGGTATAAAAACCGCGCTGCAAGCGACGCTCGCCATTCATTCGATCTCCAAGCTTTGCAACGTAAACTGCATCAAAAAACTTCGTAGCATCAATAAAAAATGTCTCTTCTGCCAATTTTCTTCGGCGATCGCTACAACTCGATGCGTCCCTCACGTATTTTGAACCAGCATTTCGGTGTTCCGCTGCAACTAGAGGACCTCTTCAGCCCGATGACCATCCCCGAGGAGTTCAGAACGATGATGCTACATCCTGGATACTACAGACCGTGGAAATCCGCTGCGGCCGGAGATGATTCCGGATCCACCGTTAGCTGGGAGAAGGACAAATACCAGGTGAATCTCGACGTGCAGCAGTTCAAGCCGGAGGAGATCACCGTCAAAGTCACCGGGAAGAATGAGATCACTGTCGAGGGGAAGCACGAGGAGCAGCAGGATGAACACGGATTCATTTCCAGGCATTTCGTGAGGAAGTATGTCGTTCCGCAGGGCTGCAACATTGAAGGCGTCGTTTCGCATCTCTCTTCGGATGGAGTGTTATCCATCAGCGCTCCCAGAGAGGATACACCCACCACCGATCACAAAGAGATTCCCATCACTCAGACCGGAAAACCGGCCATCAAACCAGACGACCAGAAGAACTGAATCATTTCACACGCATCCACTTTCATACTTTTGTATCGCTTTTACTAGAACTTAGTACTATGTAATTAGTAAAAGAATAATTTCTACACTAAAATGTAACCAACTTAATCATAATAAATGAATATTACTATTCAAAATATTTTTGTTTCATTAATAAATATCATCAAATGCTTATTTTAAGAAATCTATTTGATCTCTTATTGTTATAATATGAAGTATAAATATGTTTTTATTTCATTTTCTTTAAACTATAATTTTAATTATGTCTTTTACAAAATGCCCCTGAACTAGATTTGACGCACCGGGCATTTTGTTATTTTTTGATAATTTATCGCAATCTAAAAAAAAAAAATTATATACTGAATAGAAAATTCTGGATATATTAAAGATTTTTGTTTAAGTGTAGTTTACAAAAATATTTGTATATTCTAGAAAATTCTGGAAATTCGCGACTCTGTTTGAGTGTACAGAATCGCGCAACATTTCCAGAATTTTCTAGAATATACAATTTTTTTCTAGAATTCAAGAAGGATTCCAGATAATTCTCGAACAATTCTGAAACAGTATAAAAGCCTCGTTACAATTGCCATTCGCAACCATTCGAGCGCTAATCTTGGCACTGCGAACAACTAGAAAAAAAATAGCAAACGTAATTCGTAGTAAGCGAAAATATGTCTTTGTTACCATTTTTCTTCGGTGATCGTATCAACTGCTCACGTTCATCACGCATCCTGGATCAACACTTTGGAGTACCATTGCAAATAGACGACCTATATCAGACGGCCATCCCCGAAGAGTTCAGGACGATGATGCGTTTTCCCGGATACTTCAGACCGTGGAGGACGACTGCTGCCAACATCGATAATGGATCGACCATCAGTTTGGAGAAGGATATGTTCCAGGTGAATCTAGACGTAAAGCAGTTCAAGCCGGAAGAGATCACGGTGAAAGTGACCGGAAACAACGAGATTACGATCGAGGGAAAGCATGAGGAGCAGCAGGACGAACACGGATTCATCTCAAGGCATTTCGTGAGGAAGTACATCGTTCCACAAGGCTGCAACATCGAGGGTGTCGTTTCGCAACTTTCTTCCGATGGAGTGTTATCCATAAGCGCTCCGCGTCAAGAAACGACTTCCATCGAGCATAAAGTGATTCCCATCACTCAGACCGGAAAGCCTACAGTGAAACTCGAGGAACAGAAGAACTGATACAGTATCCACCGCATCCACTTTCGTACTTTTGTATCGTCTTTCCTAGATCTTAGCTTTAAGCAACTAGTATTAAAATAGTAGTTACTGTTCATTTTATTAATAACAAACACTCAAACTATTCATGTTCAATAAATAAAATTGAATTTTTAATCTAATTTTCGTATAGTCATTAATTACTAATTGTTTTATTTTTCTAATTTAAACAACAGGATTAGATACACCGCAAATTCTTTGCCTTTTACTCACCTTAAAAAACTGTTGGCAAACAACTCCACCCGCAATCAAACTATTTTTAAATCTGATTTGCGACGCAAATACGTGCTCAACTAAAAATATAATTGAATCAAATCTTAATGACTAGGTCAGTTGCAAATAATTGAGATAATATTGTATTTTTTTAATGGATATATATATTTACCTAAATATGTACAGAAAAAGGAAAAACGTAACCTACAATATAATTCAAACAAAAACTTAAAAAAATATATGTGCATACGCTCTTTTCATATTTATAATTGTAGAATAATTTAGTTATATATAATATATACAGACTTAAATATACCAGTCATCTCAGATAAATTGTGTGTGTGTATATAATAGAAAGCCTAGCAAGGGACGTTCAGTATAATTTCTTTAAAATTATTAAAATAAAGAAGATTATTACCAGCGTGCACATCACTTTCATAAAGATTAAATAGCGTCAATAGCTGCGCGGCCATTGGCTGGATTTGTCCGTGAGCGGAACGTAAATCACGCCCATCAGAGCTTTTCTGGATATGGTGCCATCAGGCATCTTGTCAATTTGCTCCAGCTGCTGATCTCCACCAGCTGGACCTACTGGTACAATCAACCTGCCACCTACCTAAAATCAATCAATGATTTAAATTAAGCAATCACTTTAAATTTAATGATTTTTACCTTTAATTGGTCAATCAATGGCTGTGGTAGTGTTGGAGCAGCTGCCCCCACATGTATAGCATTGTAAGGACCCAAATCAGAGAAACCGAGTCTACCATCACCCAACTTCAGCTGCACCCTACCAGACTGCAAGAGTTCTTGATTTCCCTTCTGAATGTTCTCAGTGGCCATCTGAATCAGCTCAGGGATGTGATCTATACCAACTGCAGTCCCATTTTCACCAAGCATGTAGGCCATGCAAGCAGTCAAATAACCAGACCCAGAGCCCACATCCAAAGCCTTTTCACCAGGAACCAGCTTTTCTTTTAACAGCTCCAAAGCATGTGCATGCATATGGGGTGCACTTATCGTCACCCCATACCCTATACCTTGTGGAGCATCTATATAAGGATTCCTCACAGAGTAGTGACCTCTGTCAACTTGCATCATTGCTTGCTCAACTGTATCACTCTTAATAATACCATTGGCTGAAGAAGATTTATTATTAATTTGACAGAAGAAATTCCGCTATAAAAAGTAATCATACATCTCAGGTTTCTCACCAGCTCGATGTTCGTCTTTCCATGCGAACGCCAAGCCATTGTCACAGTGAATGTCAGCAACCAAAACAATAATTCCATTTATTTCAAACCAACATCCATAACATAATAACTGTCATCGACTTTGACATTGACAGTTTCCCAGATGATCTGTCAAAAGTAGTATTAGCGCGGGAGAAATTCGTATTTTAGACGATTCAAATTATTTACTTTCCACCAATAAATCTATTAACATAAATTAATTTTTAATTAGATTTCCAATTTATCAATGTTTGTTCCTCAATTTTAGGTTAAATAGAAATAAACTAGAAGGTGTAAATAAATCTTAGATGCAAGAATGAAATAAAACTGATTGACCAAAAACGATAATGACAAACACGTATATTTCTTTTAGATAAAATAATCTTTAACGTTTTTTATTGTTAAAATACATGGTAGAGATAAAATTCTATTTAGTAAGAGCTTCCGCGAGATCCACGAAACTCGTGCAATACCAGTTGCACTTGTTGCGAACATTCTCTCTAATAACGTTACCTCCGAATCCTGAAAAATCATATTTATAAATCATAATTGTAAATATTTTTTTTTAAGTTTGTCAATTTATAATGAAATTGCAGTTTCAATATAAGTGACAGACCTCAAGATGCATGTCATAATTGCAGTTATATATATTTAAATTCAAAATTTATTATTTGACAACTGCATTTTCTGATATCTAATTATCATTTTTAATACAATTAATAACTGATTTAAATGAACAAAACTTTCATTAAATCTTGTTGCAGTAATTAGTTTGTCATATAAAATGTAAACATATTCATTAATTACCAACAAAGACGTCAGCTGGTGGACAGGCTTCTAAATCAGTAGCTCCATCACCGACAAGTACGACGTGCTTGTAATTCTTCGTCAGTTTCAAGTCATGGATAATGAAACCCTTCCCGCCAGTTTTGGCGGTCGGCGAGGATTCCTCGTATCCAGCAAATTCTCCTAAAATAAAGCGTTAATAATCAATGCCAACTAGGTCATCCGGTGTAATTACCATTGTGGTAGAACTTCAGGCGATTGGCGTAAATGTTCGTGTAAGGAATGTTAAGTTTCGCAGCGACCGGCCCTATTATCGACTTGAATCCCCCAGAAATAAGATAAACTGGAATATTATTTGCGTGGAAATAATCGACGACTTCCCTGAAACACGACAAATTAGTTTAGATAAAGTTTGAGCACAATAACTGCTTCAATACTAACTTAATTCCGGGCGTTAAATTTGGAGGATTATTTTCGATGAAGTCATTCAATATTTCTAAGCTGGGTTTCATGATGTGCAAACGTCGGCTGATCGCCTCCTCGAAGGGCATTTTTCCGCCCATCGCCTGCTTGGTGCTACGGTGAAAATCGAAGAAATTAATTAAATTGAGCGAGCTTTAAATTTAACTTTTGAACTCACAGTTCGGCAATTTCGCTCTCTTTGCCGCAAGCTTTTGCCAACTCGTCGATGGATTCCTCCTTGATTACTGTTGAGTCCACATCGAAGCAGACGCAATCGGCGACTTTCATTAGTTTGACTATCTCGGAGAGGACCATTGCGAGCGATTGTTTTGTGTTTAGTGACTAGATGTTGAAAGACCGGATCGTCGGATCCCGATCCAATTTATACTTGTTTCTTCGGAGATAATTCCCTGTCCGCTCGATGCGCGAGTTTGTGTATGGATACTCTTCTTTTTATATTTATCGTCCCATTAAATTCAACACAAGGTCAGAGGATTCCTACGAGCACCATTTGACTGCACTAAACGGATGGAGGAACGGAGGTCGGACTGATGCGGACCTTTGTCTGACTGAATGCACTTACTACTCGTGTTTATTCGGACTGCTTACGTTCAGCCAATAACTCGACCCCAAATACAGCTTAAGCACTTTCTCTGAATAATAGCTACTTTATCTTTACGCGCGATAAGCACTTTTGTAAATAATCGAATTATGCATTTCACTTTGAGATATTCTATTTCATTCAATAAAAAATTACGAAACGCACTTATCTAAAATAAAATTGACAAAATATGACAAACTTTAAATGTCCCAATTTTAGATACCCAAGATTCCTTACAAACTTTGACTTATTTTGGAAATAAACTATAAAAAAATATGTACATATAGATACATAGATTATATATTCTAATCCAAATTACTTCTTCTGTTTCTTCCCCTCTACCGAGAGTGGAAGTATGTAACTTAGCTCTGCTTAGTTCGCACTGTGTGGTGAATGTCTATGCCGAATTAAAGACCTGATCCTTAAACATACCTAACTAAAACGGATAAAAACATTAGCACAGACAATAATATTATCAGTGCCAATAAAGATAAAATAAATAAATCCAAATTAATAATAAATTTAAAAAGAAAGCACGTCTTCGAAAACAAGCGTTTGACAAAATTTATCAAAATGTAATTAACAGATTTGATAAACGATGATATTTTACTGATGATTGTTACTTTTCCTGTTATTTAAAAAATAATATTTATAAAATTTATGAAAACGAGTTTCTTGAGAACTTACGAATCAAGTTCTTTCATGAAAATTGAAGCATAGGAGAAACCTGCTGGTGAAATTGTAGAGGAACCGCAACTACAGGGTATTTACGAAGAAAACTCTATTCAAAGCAAACTCTAGTTTTACCTGTAACAGATGAATTGTAGAATGGAAAAGGTTCTAAATAAACTGAATGATGTGAAAATTACTTTTTACTATGGAATATATTCATTTTCATATTGCTTTTATTGATTTATTATAATTAATTCAATGTTATTCATTTTTTCTTGTAAATTCTTTGCAAGCAATATGATGATTTACCTTATAAAAGAAGAAAGAGTTAATGTGAACAGTGTACTTACTCGTATTTTAATTTGCCAGGTAATCTGAAAAAGGGCGTTAATCGTGTCATTGCAACACTTAATCTAAATTTACACGCGACGAACGCGTTTATTTAAAGACGGGGTTAGTATCAATTGAATAGTAGTATAGCAGAAACTATAGGAATAGGAAGTTGGCGTTGGCGCGCAGGAAGGAAACAGCCTTCCTCCATTGCACTTGCGTATGTTTGTGTATGCGATCATCCTCCGTTTGAAATGATCCTACAGATCTCTCCCAACTAGTTCGAAGCTTTCCTTCATCCCATTCAGATTGCAAAGAAATAAGAAAAAACACAACACATTATTGAAAATACTTGGCAAAATCCTCGAACTTCAATGCGCAAACACTCATTGGGCGGATATAAATTTAACATACATTAAATTAAATGCAATAAACCGAAAGAAAAAGAAGCAAAATGTTAAAACTTTTCCTTTTTTTAATAATATGTTCGTTTTCGCACGAACAGACTACGCGTTTGGAAATCAACGAAATTACAGATACGTAAGTAACAATCATTTCAAATATTATTTGTATTATTCCATTTTAATTATTAATAATAGTTTATATTCGTATTCCTTTAGAAAAAAAATAATGAAAAGAAATGATTAAAAACGAACATCATCAATCAATTTCTTAATTGAAAATCAAATTAAGAACAAAGCGCGAACAAATCAAAGCCAATGTTATAAATAATAGTTAAATATTTTCCTCATTGTTTCCATTTATGTATATCATTAAATTGATAAAATATATAGTAATTAAGTTTTACAACAATTTCTCAAATATTTAATTTTTTGCATACGTGATTTTGTTAACAAGTTTTTTTTTATAGATACTCTTGAGATTTGTAGACAAAACAGCACGATTTCGATTAAATTAGTGACTGCGGGATGCTGAGCGCTTGGCGCCAAGTCGTCTCGACCCTATTGATTTTTCATCTTCCAAAAAAAGAACCAAATGTGTTTTCTCCAACTCGTAAACTTCCATATCATAAACATGTTGATTATATAACTTGAAATTAGTTTAGATAAATAATATTATATTCAAAATAATTTTTGTTTTTCTTTTGTTGCAGGGTAACGAATTGGGTGGAGAATTTCGGAAATGAGCTGCAAGTGCTCATGCAGTTGACGAGAAAAAATCAAGTGAAAAATGTAATCTATATTTAAAGAGTTTATTTATTTTTTTAATTCCGTGATATTGTTTAATTTTTTTTTCTTGTAGAGTTTTTCTCACGTGGATGTTGTCGAGGAAAACTGGGATTTGATTATCGAGAATGTCTCGCAGAATTTACGAGACATGATGAATGAAAAAGTGGAAGCGGTCAAAGTAAGCCCTGCAGACGATGTCAAAGGATATTTACATTCTCGTTTGTTTTTGTTCAGGCCATAAAACATCATGCGGAACTGTTGGCCTTCCACAGGAAACCTGATGTCAACATGTATTCTCTATACGATTTTTACGATGCCAACGACGTCGACGTCGAAAATCCCGTTGAAGATCGCAGCTCGGATATCCATGAGGTCTGTTGTTAAGTTTGTTTTAATTTTATAGACGATGATAGATTGGGTTCTATATTTCACAGAGCGAAAAGATGTGGGAGTGCGGAATTCCTCCTAACCCGAGCGGACTCTGCTTTAGCAAAGATTTCCACGCCGATGAAGAATTCCAAGCAGATGTAAATGGCTATGAGAGCTTCAACTACAAACCGAAAATGGAGAAGCAGGTGTACGAGAGCACAAATCGCGAGAGGTGCTCCAACATCATGTTCCTTCATCGACCGAAAAAATATTACAGTAGAATGAACGTCGCCTACAATCCGCAATTCGATACCAAAGTCAACTTGAACTACAGCATTGTTCGCGTCTCACCTGGAGTCTACTCAAGAGGTAGAAACAATTTTCATCAATCACTTTTATAGATTCTTTTGTTTTGTAGAGAGGAAAGTTCTCAACGGAATCCGTTGGTCAGAGGGTTTAGATTTGACTTTCAAATGCAATTATAATAGGGATCCGACGTTGACTTGGCAGTTCTTCGGAAGTCCGGATGGGTTCATGCGCTTCTATCCAGGTGCGCGCATTTCGGTAATATTATTTAATTTTCAATTAACTTCTTTTCGCATAATTTCGTCGATAGCAATGAAATGGTCTGAAGAGGAATACGATCAAACGTACGATTTCCGAATTAGGTCCTGGTACATCGAGGGAATCTCTTCAGCTAAAGACATAATCATTCTGCTGGACAGATCCGGCTCCATGAAAGGCAATAAACGAGTAATTTCCACGCAAATCGTCAACGCCATCCTCGATACACTCACGGATAATGATTACGTAAACATCTACACGTTTACGAACAGAACAGAATCGCTTGTAGATTGCTTCAACGATACTTTGGTTCAGGTTCTCTAAATTTGCTTCTCTGTAAAGAGGCGATGATGACGATTATTAATTTCAGGCCAACGAGGAGAACTTGCGTTTGCTTCGCGAACAACTCCTGGTCATCAAAGATGAATTCTACGGGGACATAACGCACGGTTTGGAGAAAGCGTTTCCTATTCTTTGGAAATACAGGGAAGCTCGACGAGGAGCTATAGTTTGCAATCAGGCGATAATGCTGATCACCGAGGGTCTGGATTACGAGTACAAAGACGTCCTCTTCAACATCTACAATCACATTCCGTCAGATGAAAAGTATAGACCCATCAGGTTCTTCACCTATCTTTTGGGAACCGATGAGAACGACGCGCAACGGATGAAGTGGATCGCCTGCGAAAATATGGGTAAACATTTCAGGTTTTTCTTTGATCATTTTTCAGACGCGCGCGCTCTATTTTCACCCGACGTTCTGTAGATGTAACGGCTTTCATTGTAGGCTATTACGTGAATATTACTGTGATCGAGGAGGTTCGCGAGAGAGTTCTAAAATACTTAGAGGTAATGTCGAGGCCGATTAATATGAACGCGGACGAAGAGATGGAGCCCGCTTGGAGCGCTCTGTACGTCCATCTCGTCGATAGGAGACTCTCGAATTGGCTGTGGAAGAGAAACGAAGGTAATAGACAAAGAGACATTTTCATCAAGTACGAAAAGCAGCAAATTAAGGAGAAGAGAAAAATATTCGAACCGACACAAAGACACTTTACATTGGAAATAGAACATGTGAGCACACAAACCACACACTTACCTACTCTTCCACTTCAATTATTCACAACGGATTAAGAGCTTTTCTATTTTTCAGCCCTATGAGAAGTACCGCAAAGTGCGCGAATACAAGTACCTAACTTCGGTATCCCTACCTGTTTACGATAAAAGAGCAAATAAAACTACATTGCTTGGTGTTGCTGGAGTAGATGTACCTCTGGATTACATTAAGCAGCTCACCGAACCGCACAGAGTAAGTTCATCCAAACATATTCGTTCTCAATTAACAAGTAACACATTCATTTTTTTTTTCAGATCGGCGTTAATGGTTACGCGTTCATCATCACGAATAACGGTTACGTCCTTCATCATCCGGACCACAGACGAGAGGTAAACTCACTACAAAATATACATAAAAATATTACCATCTATATTCCAGTTTAAAGATCGAATCTTGAAACCCACATTCAACCGTGTCGACTTCACAGAAGTAGAAATTTCCGACGCCACAGTCAAACCGCGCATTTTCGACGACGCCATCATCGAGGTAATAACGTTCCTGATAAAATCCAAAAATATAATAAATAATAATTATTTTCAGCTAAGAGAGAACGTGGTGCTGCAAAAGAAAGGACGTCGAGAATTGAGGGTCCGCACTCCCGTCGACGACATGGTAATTTTTTATCCAAGAGAAATGATGTGCCTTCAAGATTTCAATTTAATTATTTTTTTGTTAGAAACGAGTTATATTAAGCAGCCGACATTATTTCTACACGAAAATCGGTCCATTCAGTTTGGTCATCGCCTTGCCAGATCGTTATGGTTTTTTGGTCATCAGACATCCCAAATCTGATCCATCGGTGAAGATGATTTTAAAGATGCTGTCATCCAACAAGAACTGGAGGGTCCATCCCAAATGGCTATACACATGCAAAACTCACAGGGCTCACAAAAATCCTGAACAGGAACTGCTGTATTTCCTCGAGCGTAAAAAGATACCTAAAAATTGTAAAACTAAGAAACTAATTTACTAGAGGTAAATAACTTTCAATTATTTTAGGCGATACGAGTTTAATAGAAGCACTCCTCAAGGACGTCAACGTGACGGAATGGTTCAACGAGGAAGACATTTCAGTTAAACGAAGGTATTTCTCATCAACATCTCTTGCAATCAATTGTTGCTAATACTCATAATTTCGCAGATCTAAATTTCATAGTGGAGTGGTCCTAACATTCATGGCAACGCACGCTGGGTTGACCAGATGGAAAAATTTGATGAATATCGAAGAAGATGAGACGTGTGTTCTTCAATTTTCAAAATTAATTGCTTTTATTAAATCACCTGTTTTCAGTCATTTTGCGAATACTAACAATAAAGCACCAGATGAGGTTTATTATAGAAGAGCTGCGGAATTGAACTACGATCGTCCAGATATGTTTCTATTCTCGGTTCCTCTCGATCCAGATAGTAAAAATACAAATTTTTTTTATTTTTGGGTCACTTATAATTTATTGTTTTATAGACTTCGATGAAAATTCAACTTTAATCACCGTGAGCAACGTTGTGTACCAAGAGAAGCACAACAAGAAGGCTCCGGTCGCTGCAGTTGGTTTGCAGATACTTCACAAAACCTTAAACAATCTCATGAATAGTTTACAAGTATAAAAATATTTTACTGCACATTTTTTTCGACTCTAATCGCATGCTATTTCAGTGCAATAGTAAATTCTGCAAGATGCGCTGCGGCGATGACAATTGGAGGTGTTACGTCCTGGATAACGACGGTTACGTAGTCTTGGATAACGACACCAACAATGTAGGAAAGTTAATTGCAGACGTAGACTCAATCCTCACAGATTATCTTGTGAGGGATGGCGTTTACAAGGACGTAACAGTCTTCGACTACCAAGGCACTTGTTATCCAAACTATTACTCAATCGAAGAATTCTACGGGCCCACAGCTGAGGTAACACTGAAAGTCAAAAACTGAATATATAGTTAATATGTAACTATTATTTCAGGATATTCGCAAAGACATCAAATGTCGTACACCCATAAAGTGCAAGACCATCGAGTATTTGCGTCGACAGCTGCAGAAAACCATACCGACGCCATGCGATATCGAATTAAAGTTATATAATTCACTGTGGAAGGATCATTCCAGGCTAACACCAACCAAGAGCAGACTTGAATGCAGCTGGTTCTATAAAACTTAATCAATAAATTCAGTCCATCGAAATAACTGTAATAATTTCTCTTGCAGCGCTTACATCGCTCAACACATTAGAGGCACGAATCTAATGATGGTCGTCGTGAATGGTACTTGCTGTCCGTACGAAAGCCACTTCAAAAACGTGAACGAATTCCCCAGAGAGATTCAGTACAACCTAACACTACCCTGCTACATAGCCACTATGAACAACTTCACAAAACGCCATTACACAAAATGCATCATCAAGAATAAACATGTACATATACACGTAGATACACTTCAATCAACAAATATTTATCTATTTTTTCCATACAGGAATACACTTTGAATCAAAGGAACCATTCGAACTGTGGCTACGAGGGCATCGTACCTCGAGAATAAATAATAACGTCTTCATAGACAGCACGAGTTTACTTCTTGCCTTAAGGAATATATTCTGCTATTTATTCGTAAAATAGGCAATAAATAAATAATATATATAGTGTACAAACGTGATTGCCTTGACATCTATTTTGACGAATCGACCTAAGCATCTCCCCGATCGTAGCTGAGACATCCACATCTCGTGCAACTCATCGTTGGTCTGGCTCTGATTGACTGCTCATAAGCCACCTCCGTGTCGAAGCCATCCTCCTCGTTAGACATAAAAGGAATGAACTGCGGCCTTGGGTCCTTCACAGTAACAAAGTACTTTTTTATAAAAAGAATCTGCAATTTAAAAATATAAATAACTGCGTGTATTAATGAAACTCTTTGTTCGAATTACATATAGACACATCAATATCAAGGCGACTAGAACGACGACACCATTGTTGCAAAAGCAAGGTTCAATGTTGGAATCTTCGACTATGACTTTCTCGTATCCCACCAATTTTCCCTGAAATATTTTTTATCGTATTAATATATAGAACATTTTTTAAAACTTACTATTTTCTGCCAATAGGTAGGTTCCGGAAGTGGCTTAGGTCTGGTGGTCAACAGTTTCATACAATTTGGAATCTGCAGAATACTCTTGTTTATCAACTTGCCTTAACTTCGTAACTGGGCTCAACTTACCAAAGATCGCAGTGAGGAAAGAACCGCGTTTAAAGCTTTCCCTAAAATCAAAAAAACAAAGTTGCTCGTTCCACTAGACTTAATCTATACATACCAGTTTCCTGACATATGGGAAACACATAGGCTTGGGTGACTCTCACTAATACTAGAATTGTGGCGATCAAAGGAACAAGAAACATTCCCTTGCAATTTATATTTTTTGTCTAAACGAAGCGAAAATGTGTTTCTTTTTATTCGTACTTTGTTCGCTGCTCGTTCGCAACTACTGTCGGTTGTCACACAATAAAAACATACAAATCAAATTTGACAACTGTTCGAACATAATCCTAACACGCGTCTACTTGATTGCCAGGCTCGTCGCCGTTCTTTCCCACCTCGCTCACCTCCGACGCTCCCGCAGCGCCCATTTCCGTCTCCTCCAAATTTCCATGCCCAAACATATTGCCAATCTTCTCCAACTTGCTCTGAATATCGTAAACGCCCTCCATGCGACGCCTTAGAGACTCCTGGTTCTCGCTAACATCTTCAAAACCAATAAAAATTACCAAAATCACTCTCGCTAATTTTCACGTCCAATTACCGTGCATTTTGTACATCCTCTTCAAATTGATTCCCATCAGCTCGATCTGCACCTCGGCCAACTCTCTGAGCAACTCGACGCTGACAGCGATGTAGCACTGCGGCCTCACCTCTTTCAAAATTGTGCTGAGAGTTTCGAGAGCATCAGCTCTACGCTTCTGCACGTTATATTGCGAATCCAAATCCGGCTCGTAGAACGCCAAAAACCTGTACAACTCGCTCAGATCCAGCACGCAATTCACGTAAATAAAAGGGTAATCTCTAAGGGTGTAGTAGACCCTGGCTCTCTTCAGCCACATCTGCGTGTGTTGGAACAAGATGTGAGCTTCCACAGTATTGTTGACGAACTTTGCAGGAACCTTCGCTATCTTTACTTCGGAATTCGGAAATTTCAGATTATCATCCAGCGCGTCTTCCTCGTCATCCAACTTGACCTCGTGGGCTACCTCTGTACAATTAAGTAAATGCCTAACACATTTAGGATATTTGTCGTTACCTTCGGTAGAAGAAGTTGTTGGAACGTCGTCGAAGATCTTGTTGCATAGTTTCGTGATGTCTCGGGATTTGCTGGTATCGAACAATCTTAGACCATAGTAGATCCAACCTCTTGCCAATTCCGCTTGCGCCTTCCCCAATTCCGGATGATCAATGAGCGCTGCTTCGACGCGATCCAAAGCCGATCCAGCCGCTGATAAGTAATACCTTAATCGTATTGTTAATATTGGAATGTTTCAGATTTGCCATATTTTGTTGTATACCTAGCGGGAACGAATAGCATTTTAACTAAGTACAAGGAAGCGACACGGGTACATCGCATTGCCCAATCCACCGGATCGCACTCCTCATAATCCAGTTCCAATTCGAGGATGCGATGCTGCACATATGCGGACTCCTTTTCCAGTCCCATCTTGCTATAAATCCAACTGAGCATTTGTAAATTATTCATGTTAATGCTGTGCATTTTAACTTTAGCCTCGCTATTTTTCAGAGGTCCCACAGCAAATAGTTCTTCGGTGCTGCAAATTAACAATTTTTAATAATAGATCAAAAAGCTATATCCATTTTGAAGATACCTATAGATGATTACATCCGGTTTTGCTTCCAACGTTGTTATTTCTTCCAAAAGCTCTTTGGCCTTTTCGTAATCTCCCAACTTGGACAAAGTAAATGCCAGATGGTTGATGATACGCAAATGCAGATACACCATGAATGGATCAGTGATGTAGTCCTTGATGATTTCAAGTGCCTTGTCTAAGTTCTCTTTGCTTGCGGCGAAATCGTCTACCGTGAGCTTAATTTTTGCGTTCTCGTAGAACAGTGATGACTTCATGGCCAGCACCTTTGTCTGTCCCTCCGTCTCCTTCACCGTTGCGAAGATCTCGTCCAGGCGCGTCTGCAGACTAACAAACATCTCTTGCAACAGATTCTGCTGCGTCTTGTCGCCCGCATCATGTTTCAGCACCTCCGGCTTCTGCGACGTCTTCTTCAGGTTCTCAAAAAGATCCTCCAACTCTTTGCACGTCGCCTCCGACAACGCAGCCATTCCGCTGTTCTTCCTCAGGTAAATTTGACTGAAAATTTACAATTCCGAAAATACTGTTTATCGTTTTTTTTTTCTTCCACAGACCACCTAGATTCTATAATTCAAATAAAACATACACCACATAAACGTCACAAATGAAACAATTTCCCAACCGAAATTAATTTATGAAATAAACATTTAAACTTTATGATTAGTAAACAATCCTTAAAATACACAACTTATTAATTAAAAATAATAAATTTTAATTTGAAACTCATACCAATATCAAAGATACACATATGCCTCTCATATAAGTAATTAATCTATTCATTTATTTGATCACAATAAATAATTTTAATTTTGAATTCTTTAAAGTTCACTTGGTTGTATATATTTTTCTTATAAATTCATTGTTGACAATTATTATTACCATAACCTACAAGTTAAATCCAAAGATTTTTGCAAATCAAAATGAATAGTTTAATTAAGTTGAGACATATAATTTCAAAAGTAAGGCCCTTTTGTCGGCTTTCATCTACGACGAACAACATATACGAACCAGATTATTTGCATGTAAGTTACATAAACGTAACCTCAATAGATCTGCAATTTTAGTAAAATGGTTTTCAGTTACTGAAATCCAAAGTGCCTTTATACGACACCATCAATATACAGATGAGGGGTCACGATTATGCGATCTTGGAGAACTATCAGAAGCTTGTTCATAACATGGCCAAGAATATGGACATTGATGTAGAGGACGCCTGGGCCGTCCCAGCCCAAGATATGCAGATCACCACTTACAAAGAAAACAGTGAAGTCATTAATTCTCAATATAGCTTGAAAACTTATGAGCGTTCAGTACAAATTACAGATGTTAGCAGTTTAAAGGTAATTTATAGTTATACAACTATTTTTCCCAAGTATATATTTTTAGTAATCATATATGTTTGTGCTCTATTATATAAAATAGTATTTGAATTAAATGGTATTTGCAGTTACCAATTTTATTAAGAGCTTTAGAAGCATCCACTCCAATGGGTGTTTCAATTGCTGTAGTAAATCATGAAGATTACCATGAAGAGGTGCGATACATCCCTGACAAGGAGTTACTCGAATTAAAACAAGAATTGGATGAAATGGGAGGGCCAAGAAAAGTGCGATAAGTATGCAAAAATACTGTATTTAAAAAATAAATATATATAAAAAATAATTAAAAAAATTAAATCTGTGTAAATAAATCTGTCTCATGTTAAAAAATGGAGTATTGCAAGTTTACAGTTGAAATCCGTCAAACCACGCCGAAGTGGACCACCTTGATTTTGGGCTGTTGCATGGGGGGGCTTTCGCTGCTCTCCCGTTGTATTGGGGTAAAGTCTTTGAGATAATCCTCGTTGGGATGGCAGAGTGGGAGACTATCGGCCAGTTCTTTCTGTGGATTCATGACGTGTGCTGGAGGCGGCACCCGCACCGGCCTCTTTACTTCCGGTACAATGAAGGCAGTGACGGTATCCGAGAATTTCACCTTAGCTTGTGGCTTCTTTGGATTCTGAGCAGTCGTCGATACATTGATGGGAGGAGTCACGGGTAGCGGAGGAGGCGGTCGAAGTGGAGGCGGAGCCATGGGCGGTTTTATAGTCGGTGGGGGCACCATCGATTGTTTCATAAGCGGTGGAGGTACCATTGGTGGCTTTATGGGCGGCGGTGGCACCATTGCTGGCTTTATCGGCGGCGGTGGCACCATCGGTGGTTTGATGGGCGTGAATTTATGTTGGATATAGGGATTGATTAGTCGAGGCGTGTACGGAATGCCCAAGGTGGAGTGCTCGCCGTACGGTAACAGGGCAGGCGTCAATGGAAGTGGCGGAACTTGTATCGTCGGGGGAGGAGGCATACTTTGTTTGTTCATCAACCTTATTTTAGGTAAATCTACGTTCGGTATTGGCGGCACATAGCTGGCCGGACGGTAAGTCTTCGGTATGGGATTGTTAAAATTCGTGCTCAGATAATTCTCCTGAGACATGTGTCTGTTCTCATCATTATTCTCAGACTCTTCGCTGGTCTCGCTACATGAGTCCGAACACTGCGAGCATGAAGATCTTGAGCAATTTGAATCTAAAACAATCGAATGTTAATTTATTACATTTAATTATACAATCATTAAATTACCTTCACTCGAGCAGTGACTCAAAAGTGCGGAAGCTTGTGCTCTTGCGGCGGCTGCCATCTCCGTTTCTCCTGTTCTAACGGCTATATAGTGAAGGTCCATGAACAAGTCATGATATCCCAAATCGACGGCCAATAAGAAAGCTGTCTCGAACATTTTCGATCTAACCAATTGATGGAAGAATCGCCTCGTCATTGATTTCACCTAATTATATATAATAATACGAGATGAAATAATAATAATAGTTTGTAGACAACGACTTACTTGTGGTCCAAAGTGATGTCTTGCATCGGCATTTAATGGTACCGGAGGACAATGGTAACTGCCCAAAGCGTCCTGCAGCTGCTTTGCCGTGGTTTCATTCAAAGGCTTCCTCAACAGATGCGCGACAATTCTCTGCAAAGCTCCAAAAGCCTCCTCGTTGAAATTTTTGCTCAGCAGCAAACGTATTGCTTTATCGATATTGTTCTCGTTCAAATAGATCTGTATGAGGTTCAAGAAATTCATCTTGTTATGACTTACAACAATAAGAGGTCCTTGCTCTAACGCCACCAGCATATTCCTAGATCCCCAAAATAGCATCTCCACACTGTTCTGAGTAGTAAAGTAGCTGGAGATATCAAACACGTTCGATGCGCATGGATCTTCACTTATTGTCTGTGTTGGGATGCAGTTCAAGGCGGTATCATAGTATTGAAGTTGTCCTCTCTCGTTGGCTATGGTGGCTAAAGCCTCGGACTTGTGCCAAGCTACGTTTGTCGGTATGAACGCGGCTTTGATGATCCTGCTCGACCCTCGATTCCGATCCAACAACGCCAAAGACCCATCGATGCAACCCAAAATTAAATAATTCTCCTTTCCACTCAAACTAACGCAACTAACTTGCGTCTGCAAAGGAACAGAAGTAACGCAGATCCTCTTCAGACTTGTCCCAATCAATTCAAAGGTGCACACTTCAATAGAAACGGCACCTCTTTGCGAAACCTTCTGCTCGACTACGATTATATTCTTATTGCAAACTTTGCTCACAATAATTTTGATTGGTTCCCCATCGGTTTTTCTATACGCTACGAGATCTGGACCTCTGGCGCCAATCCAATACAAATGCAGATTTGCTCTCTGATGGTCTTTTGCCATTGGACTCCAGGGCTGAGGATGCTCAGTACCAATCTTGCCCCAAACTGCCAAAAACTCGCCATGCATGCTCAAATTCCGTCTGGATCCACTCTCCAGCACCCATTCTTTCCATAATCCACCTTGACCATAAACCTTCCCATCCTTGCAAATGCATACCACTTGATTACCCACTATTATCCCATCAGAAATAATCTCATTCTGAATCCTGTTCAACAGATTCCTATCAAAAGTAATTGAAGCTATGTCAGTGGAATGTGTCTTAATTGTAACTATCAATCCCCTTGATAGAAGCAGCTTCAATGTATCTTCTTGCCATGTCTGAAATATAATCTTATTTTGCACTAAAGCCTCCTCAAGATCCTTAATTTTATCTCTCAGCTTATGGGGCCTCTTATTGATGATGACATACTTCAAGCCCCTCTGCTCAGCATAAGTGTGCTTCACATTCTGGTAAATCAAAACAGAAGGGTCTTTCCTTATATTGTACCTTAAAGCAGAACAAATTTAATTAACTATACTAAAGTGAAGTTAAAAAGTTAAAGTTACTTGAAGGCGCCATAATCTGAAGGTCTTATGTTGATGTCATCCTGTAGGCTCCAGAAGCGAATCTCACTGTGCAGGGACAACATTGCTCCTCGTATTCGTTACCAGCATGGACGGATTGCACATTTCTAATATATTAATAAATTACATTGTAAACAGGTTTTCACACATACTGTGTTGTGTATGCAAGCACTTTTGAACTACCTTTAACTGACATGTGTCAGCTTCAAGGTCGTTGACCTTGAAACTATAACATTACTAAAGATAATTTCATTTATAGATACTTACCTTATTAATAATAAATATAAATTATTTCAAAGAAATACTATTCATTTATTCGATGTCATGCTTTTAAAATTGTAGTTCAAATAAACCCAGTTCATTGGCAAGACTGATTTTATTAACCTAGCTTTTTCTCATGAAATAAGTTGATTAAGTTAAGTTAAAAATGTTGTCTTTTATATCGAAGAAATCAAATAGCATAGCTTCGAATACACGGAATTGTGAGTATGATCTAATTTGTTTATATTCTGGATTTCTTTAATTGAGAAAATTGCAGTTCTGAGACATTCAACATCAAGTCAAGCATTGAAGCCTACAGAAGAAGTGAACTCTAGCAATAATAAACCGAAGGATGGGAGGAAAAGTTATGCTGAATTCAGACACATCTATCCTGAATTTCTGCCTGATCCCAAGATTGAATTCAGGAATTCAATTAGGGAGAAGCTTGAAAGAAGTGACATGATTGCAAGGAGAACATTGATTGATATTCCTGAATTCTATGTTGGTATGTTACTCAATTTGTATTCAGAGAATAAAAGCTGTATTTACAATTAATTACATGTACTTTCAGGTACTATTATGGCAGTGACAGTATCTGACAAACACACTCCAGGAAAGCCATTAAGATTTGTTGGTATTTGTATTAAGAGGGAGGGTTGTGGACTGAGATCAACATTCATATTGAGGAATGTTGTCGATCATCAGGGCGTTGAGGTGATGTACGAGCTTTACGATCCAACTATTCAAAAAATCGAGGTATTGAGGCTGGAGAAGAGACTGGATGATGAGCTGCTGTATTTGAGGGATTCTTTATCAGAGTTTAGTACTTTTGATTCGAATATGGAAGCTGAAATTTTGGCAGAGGGAACGCCCGTACCCGTAAATCCAATCAAAGTCCAGCTGAAACCTAGGCCATGGCTGGAAAGGTGGGAGCGAAAGAATTTAAAAGGCGTCGAAAAGATAGATTTGCCTGAGAAGTTTTTCAAACGCGCCGCTGAACTGGCGAAACCTTACGAAAAATACGACCTGATGAAGCAATACATGTAAGTCCAAAACATTTCAATGAGATCACTTTTGTAAATGAGAATTCCATATATACAAATCTTTAAACACAAACTTTTGTTATTGCAGGGGAACCATCCCGGAGGAGGAACAGAACGAAATATTTGCCGAAATTCAGTCGCAACTTCATAAACTGGAGGTAACGAGGAAGAAGATGAAGAGGAAGCGTACGTTCGTGAAGCCTACGAAGTTGGCTTAGATATGGAGTGTAATTAAATAATTTGTAATATATTTGTGGATTAAAAGTTGTGTAACAAATAAAATACGTACAATTAAATATATTATTTACAACAGAAGAAAAAATAAAGTATATTCTAGGTAGGACATTTGCGCCTAATACGAAAACACACTGAGAAAGACAATTAAATATAATTAAAAACGCTTAAAATAATTTAGTGACAAGAGGAGAAAAAAATCACATTTTCTCGTTTATACCCTATTCAGTTACATAAGTACTATTTTGGTATGCACAGAACAGAATTAAATTATGGCGTATTTGGATTAGTTAATTATATAGGTACTTGCCACGTCACTGCATTTTGGATACTTCGAACCTGGTGTTGACAAGTTCATCGTCTGAGTCCAGTATTTGCAACGGCGTGTTAATGTTAACGTTCTCCTCCAGCCACTTGATTTCCTCCTCTATGGTCTTTTGCTTAGGTGCAACGCTGTTCTTATGGATACGCACCTTAACCCCGTAGGCGTCGTTCACAAGATGCTCCTCCTCCTCATCATCGCCAGTCTCCAACAGCGGCACGAAAGCGTATCTCTGGTTGTTGTTTGTTGGCCTCCACAAGATGATAATTACCAGCAGCAGTGATGAGAACAGTATATGCCAATAGGCCTCCTCCAACCACAGATCCTTCCAGACTTTCAGGCAGGCGACGATCCTGTGGGTCTTGATTGAATACAGCATGAATATAACCGAAGCTGCGACTGAGAAGATCAAGGTATTCGTGAAGTGCTTGTACAGTGTTAGCTTGACTTCGTTTCTGCGAAGACGTAGAGTGCGCATCGTATTCACCAAGGCGCTGAAAATCCACCAGCAGATCGCCGAATCTAGCACTGCCAGAGGGACAGAGGCCACCAACACGTCCTTATTCTGATCGTTCTTAGGCCGTGTTACTCTAAGATAAGACTCGCTTGCAGCCAAGAAGAAATACAACATACCAACACCAACCACACGGTGTAGAGCAGCTCCTAACCTAGGCTTGACTATACCGAATCCCAGACTCACAATTACCACTAACATCCTAGCCAATGTGCGTTTCCCACAGGAAACCCATTCGGCAAAGAGCATGGCACCCTGCACTCTGCTACCTGTGTGGTTAATACTTTGGTACTCGGCGTAGAAAGTAGCTTTCTCCAACATGCCCAGCAGTATGACTCCCCCGATCCAGAACTGCACTCGAAGAAGATCGCGCCATTGCAGGAAAGACATGACCAGCCACATTAGACCGAACATTACGTAGATTATGCACATGAACCCATAGAACGGCAGCAAAGGCCAATCTGCCGCTGACAAATAACCATACCTATTCTTCATCTCAATGTGCACATCTAAATTGTAATTCTCTCCTGCAACCTTTATACCAAGTACATAAATACCGTCCTTTGGTGTTATGAAGACAGGAATGGGTTTTCCAATACGAATATTCTTTGCCACCTCTATATCCTTCTCAATTGAGATGTGATCCCAACATTTGTAAGTTTTCTCTGATGATGGATGCCCATTGGTCATATTGCTTGATGCAGTGCTTTTTTGCAAATTCTAAAAATAATAATATTATAACTAAATTAGTCTGATTGTATGTATATATTTGTTTGCAACAATACATCTTGGACTTTGTTGCTAGCATCACTATAATCCCAACAGACTGAATGCACCACAACCCAGGTGACTGTAATATTTGTTGGGTCCTCAGTGATAGTCTCACAATTTGCTGTAAATTAAAATCAATAAATTGCATATTGCACCATATTAGTTCTACTAATATGCCAACTATATATAAATATATATATACCTCTAATAAAAACATGTGCTCCCTGGTACAGGCTCTTGGAGAGGATCAAATAGTTTTGTTGCTGAAAAACGCGTAATATGCGAGTAATGCAAATATATAAACAAGTAACTATTTGTTTAATTACCACAGTCAAATTGAAATCCCATTTCCCTTCGTCCGGCAGTGCCTCGGCGTCGAATAGACATTGTTGCAATAAGAAAATCACCAAAAAGTACTTAAACTTGGGCATTTCTTCCACATTTATTAAAGTCGCTTATATATGAAAATATTAATTACTCGACACGGCTCCATACAATTTTTTTGCACTTCTTTTACTTGACGTTTGTGGGTTGCAGGTCTGCCATATCAATGAACTATAATAATTTAACTTAAAATTCTGCTTTTTGCTGTTTCAGCGTAGACTTTTTTTATTTACAAATTCTGTTATCTGTATGTTGTCAAATCAGTTCGTTAGTTTTCAATTCCGATTGATGAATATTAATATAAATAATGAAGTTGCCTACGTACAAAGTTAGTAAATTAATAATTGGATGGCCGACTTTGCGAAATTACATTTTGTACAGCTAACTTCATGCTAATCATTAACGGAGGTTCTTGTTTACATTATGTTGGTAGTGTTTTGCTTAAATGTTTGGTGTGTGTAACCATTGTTTACTAACGCAATAATATTAAAATTAGATGAATTACCAAAAGCATTGATTTTAACTGTTAAGTTCCGTGCGGTTTCGGTGCCATCATAATGGAATACAACATTGAGACTGCTGTTCGAGTGTGTCCAATACCATGCACAAATGGGGATGTTATGTGTGTTCAATCAAACACATACAATAACACAGTGCAATTGGGCAATTCTCATCCATATCCAGTGACTTATGCATTACCCTTCGAATGCCCGCAGAGTGCTTTATTCAATACAGTGGTGTCACCTCTCCTCAATGACCTGCAAGAGGGCTGCGATGTATCAGTTGTTACAACTGGTCAATCGGGAATGGGCAAGACCTACACATTACTTGGGCCTGGTGTGAACTGTGCTTTAAGTGAAAGTGAGTATGGAATCATTCCCAGGTTTCTGCGTGAACTATTCATTAAAATAACTGAGGACAGAGTTAGGAATTGCAATGTGCACATTACTTGGTCCCAGATTTGTGGGGAATCTGTGCAGGATTTACTTGGAGCTGGCAGTGTTGAGGTAAAGTCAATTAGTGATGCATTCCAATTGATACAGCTGGGCATGTCCAACTTGGCTCCAAGGTTTGCACACACATTATTCACCATAACTCTGGAGCAGCAGTGGTTAGCAGATAACAACATCCAACACCGTATTTCAACAGCAAGTTTTGCAGATCTGGCTGGGAGTGACAAAGTGATCATCATGGATGGTAATGGAGTGACTCAGAGTATCCCTTCAGATTCTGGCTTATTGTCACTGCAAAGATGTATTATGGCTTTGACAGAACCATTTAATAATCAGATTCCTTATAATCAATCAGTTTTGACAACATTATTAAAAGATTCATTTGGTGGAAGAGCAAAAACAATTTTAATCAGTTGCATTTCACCATTGCTGAGGGATTTGTCTGAAACTTTCTACACAATGCAATTCTCTTTGAGGACGCAACTTATTAAAAATATCGTGACTGTAAATTCTTATACTACAAATGAAACGGCGCAGGAGAATTTCGACGTGTTTGGACTTCAGTTTGCTGCAAATCAATTGTTTAAACTTGTCGCTAATGCCGAAGAGTTATTCCAGAAACTAGTGGCTAATAACGCTTTATCTCAGAATGACATGGAACAAGTTTCTTTGTGGTTGACTTTGAAACAGGAGTGCGAGGAATGTTTGAGCGAGACATCCGAGCCGCGACGGTCCTTAGAGAGGATCGAAGAAGAAATCGAGGAATCCTGTGATACGTCCGAGAGCGAAAATGGGGATGAAGAAAATGAAGAAATTTTGAATAGGTTGAATAATTACATGGCAACGTTTAGGTTAAATACTGAGAACCTGGTAACCAAATCAAATGGAAGTAATGTGCTTTCGAATACCAACAAAGAGAGTATTAATAGTTCAAACAGTGAATTTCATGATAGAGGGGCCAGAGGAAGAAGGAACAGTATACACTCGTTGTCATCACCATCGCTGAGCGTACAAAAGGTATCCAGGGATACGGAAATTTGTGATATTAAGCCACAAAGCCAAATGAGCTATAGATCCAAACAGAGGAAGCTGAGAAAGATGTGTACAGATCTGCAAGGTTATCAGAAACAAATCGCTGAGCTTGAAAACACGATTACGATGAAGGAGAAGTTGATGCAGCAACTGTTGAAACACAAGACGACGAAGTCGACGGCACGTGATAAGATGGAAATGAAGAGGTACCAGCTTAAATCTAATTTCGAGGAGGCCCAGAGTAAGTTGCTGAACGCAGAAAATGACTTGGACTTGCAAAACAGTAAAGCTGCAATAGCGGAAATTCATCAGAAGATCAAAGATATAGATTCTATTAAGAACATAACAGAAGATGGAAGCAGAAGGGTCATGGAGCTGGAGAGCAGTTTACATACGAGCAAAAAACAGTTGGAGAAATTGAAGAAGTTGAAAAGGAAGGAGGAAAAGCGTAAGATCGTGCTTGAAAACGAGTTGAAGAATGAGAAGTCGGTGTCGGAGGAACCGAAGGTGGAGAAGTCGTTGGTGGTGCAAGAGAATTGGCTGGAGATTAGAGGGCCGTTGTTAACGCCCGATGATGAGTTGGAGGCATTGAGACATGAGATCAGGAATTTGAGGCGAACCCGGGAATTACTTCTGGAGCAACGCTGTAAAATCGATACCAATTCGCATCTGAGCACCTTAAATAATGAGTTTGAGGAGAGAAAGATGTTCCAGTATGAGGAGGCTATCGAGGCTATCGATTTCATTATAGAATACAAGAACGAGTTAATGTGCGGACACGAGAAAGCATTAGCGACTCCGCAGGAACATGCCGATAAGATGCTGTTAGAAAGGCTGATGAAACTGAACGAAAACGAGATGAGGACTCTATTGCATAAATATTTTGACAAGGTTGTGGATTTAAGAAGTAGCAGCAAAAAATTGGAACTGCAGGTCGTCGACATGGACTTCCAGATTGAGGATCTAAGTGGACGTGTGCAGACCTTGAGTCACACACTGCAGCAGGTGCGTCTGGAGTACGAACGACGCGTCGTGTCTTTGCAACAGCAATATGAAGAGAACATTCATATAATTTTAAAGCATTTGGCGAGCGAAGGGGCTACAAGCAGTGGTGTTATTTGGAGGTTTCCCGGTGGCTCGAAGACGAACAACGGGGGTGTTATAACGAGTTACGGTGGTAACCATTCCAAGCATCCCAGTCAAGTGAACAGCAGCAGCACTCCACAAACGGTTGTAACAAGGCAGAAGAACAAGATTATCATCAGCAAACGTTAATGGTTTTTGATATATTATCGGCGAATTTAGTGATCTTATTTTGTGATTATTTCTCTCTTATTTGTTTCTGTTGCGAGTATGTATTTAAAAGCATTGTAATTATTTTGTATTTTCGTATTTTTTGTTTTTTTGGTATTATTATTTTGTATCAATAAATATATTAATTAGCTTGACAATCAAGTGAACTAGTGCAGAAAATGATGTTTTGAGTTTGTCAGATTCCTGTTAAAATTTCCCTCTTCGAACTCCAATCCTTTCACGCAGAAGACGATGGATCTCATCCTGAGGTGCCTGATCATATCCGGAAAATGTCTGTCCAAAATAACGGCGAACTCCATACGCGGCGTCTACCGCAAATCCATCGTCTTGAACGACCAGATGACTGTGCGATACGACAATTTGTGGCGCGTTATCGGGCACCACGACAACGTCCTCGATCTATACAGCAGCAACTACGAGGATGTTGGACTCGATCCGCAGGCTTACCTGACCTTTATAGGTGATAAGCACAAGGAGGAGTTCGAGAGCTACTTAAGGAAAGAGGAGGAAAAGTCTTCGAATATCGAAGAAATTCACAGTGCTGCAACTAAATTAAGGCCCCTGCGGAAGTCGGATGATTTCAATGCCATACCGTCATCATCAAATTTCTTCGTAGAACTGGATGATATGCATAAGCAAGTAAAAGAGGCAACAAAAATCCTGTGGGTGAATTCCAAACAGTTCGTCCAATTCGAGAAGCAACTGTGCGCCAAATTTAAGAAACTGGAGGTTGCTGCTGAGCGCGCCAAGGAGAATTTAATTAGCATGAATAAAACAGAGATGATGAATTTGACGGCGAAAATGGGAGCTGTCGAGAAGGAGAGGATCAATCTGCTGGAGAACTACGGTCGTTTTCAGATGTTGGAGGAGTCTGTCGGAGACGAGACCTTCAGAAAGAAATTGGATCAGATCCGAGAAGATGTGCGATGCGCTTCCAGTCTGCTCAACAACAATTTGAGATGTTTCACATTGACCGATGCGCGAATCCAGCTGAAGAAGGTCAAGTACAACATAATAAACGCCAATCACGTATTGCATATGAGCCAGAAGGAATGCGACAAAATCAAGCGTGAGATGGTCTCGAAGCTGCTGACCGAACCAGATGAAGAGTACGAAACCGAAGAACTGGAGTCGGAATTGATCCCACTCCCCATAGAATGCAGAATCAAAATCAAGCAAGAAGAGATCAAGCACACAGGCAAAGTGATCGAGATCAACAAGCGCATGTTCGACGAGTTGGAGCAAAATCTGAAAGTCGTCAAGATCATCAGGAAGAACGATAATCGAAAACCATTGCAGAATAGTAATTCAAAAAATAAGATTGTAGATTTAAGTGGAAACGTAATAAATGAGCACGCACCTTTAGTCGGGATGTCCAGCTGCGGGCAAAAATACCTATCCACCTCTGAAATGAAGCAAGTTCCTAATAACAGAATAGAACAGTCGAATGTGTACAAGTTGATTAAGCAAGAACAGGATAGGAGAAAAAACATTAAAGTATCTTCTAATTATCGCAACGAGGATGACAGAAGGATTCGCAATACAAAGAGCAAAGAGGAAAAAGACTATGTTAACGTTATCCACAAAGGATCACGCGGTATGTCCGAGCTAAATAAAATTAATAATATTATAAACGATTATAAAAATTTGGAAACTTTGGAGGAAAGAAGGAAACATTACAAGATTTTGCAAACGAAAAAATCTCCTATTGAAAAAAACACGAAGCATTGGACTTACTCGCCTATCTTGGAGTCGATTGAAAGAAAAGAAGAAAACTATACGATAGTAAAAGAGACTCTTAATTCAAATACTGTTGAAACCGAAAATGGCATTACAGCATATAAACCAGAAACTAGCGTCGTTCTAAATACAGAAGAAAATAACACCAAGGATACTACGATTGACGAGGCTAAACAAAAGGATCCGTACTTTCCGCTTGTGACTAATGTTAAATCAGAGGAGAAAATTGATTTCAGCGAAAACCAAGAGTTGCTGATCAAAGAAGTAAGCGACTCGGAAATTCATAAATTCATGGAAAAGGCTATACAAAGTGAACGCAACTCGCAGGAGCTGAATGTAGCAAATAAAGAAGTCAACGAGAAAGATTGCTTAGCGAAACACGAGAATTCAAAAGCAATACAAAAGGATTGTGCAGAATTGAATATTGTTAGAGACGCAGAATCCAATACAACGAATTTGTTCCAACGTGATTGGAAATGCGTGATCACGTGCAAGAGTCTGAACGATTTAAAGATATTAGATGGCAACGGAATTCCAATTATGTGCAATAAGTTTGATTTCGGCGAATCGGAGAATCGAAGGGTAAGGAAGATTTTAGAAGCGCTTCCAATCCAATCCACGCGGATTTTGCAATTGGAAAGCGATGCGTTGCAGTCGAACTCGAGTAAAAATCTGGATAAACATTTCTACAGTATTCCGCGACCCAAGCAACGCTGCACTTTTGACAATTACGATAACTCCTCGTTTGGGAACTTGAGGTTCGAGGATTTCTGCTTGAAAGATAGTTTTAAGATCTACTGGGATGAGACGAAAATGGTCAAATCGAATGATGATCTTTACAAGACTTTGAGTAGTCAGGCGAATCTTTTTGCCGATATCGTTGATGCGGATGAATCGTTGAACAACTTCAGCTGCATGCACGTGAAAGATCAGCAGGATGGAAAGAGTAAGAGATTTAATGAATCGGAGTTAATGCTAGTTTCTTATTATTTTTGATTGCTGCAGGTTTGTTGGTCGTGAAGGAAAAATCTAAAATGGATATGATCGAGGAGCGGTTCAAAAGAGTGGCCCTGGCACGGACCAACACGAATCTCATTAAGAGAGCGCAAGCCAAGCAACTTAACTTAAAGAAAGAGCTGTAAATTCATGATAATAAAAGAAATTGATTACAGATATATGATGGTGTGTTGGGTGTATCTTTGTAATTGACAAGTCCACTCATACGCATGTGTGTATATATATGTGTAGTTTTTGTTTTAATTTACTGAAATTAAAATATAAATATAAATAATTTTAATTTTTCTTACTTCTATCTTCTTCTTAAAGGGAAAGGATCACACAAATCTTTGATATTGTTTACAGATGGTAAATGGTCATTCACCAGGTACTGTGATCTTCTTTGATCTGGGGAATGCAATAGCAGATCACACGGTAAATTCCTCCGATGGTCAAGCAATAATACGTTCTTTTATTTAGGCTATCGCAGACGTCGATTGATAATATTGGATACATCTTGGAAACGTGCTCAACATGACTGTACTTCGCCAGATTGAACAACTTCCAATCGCTTATTTCATAGAAATACAACTAGAATGAACATAGATAATCTGATGTGTACATTGATTAGAAAACTTACATCTCCGCAGTTAGTGCCAACGAGAAATGTGTTTCCGTACAGGAACATACACGAGATGCTATCCCTAAAAATTTCCCAGGAATTAAAGATTTTCTTTTTGTACTCGCTGGTCGAATCGATTATATACAATTCGAACATTTCACTTAAAATACTTGTATCTGAAACTGAATGTTTGCGATTTAAAAATGAGCAAAGCACATGCAGAATGTTGATAGTCACTTTTGGCTAAGTTGATAAGAACTTGACTAGAAACAAATTTCGTCGTGCATCTCACTCTTTGCCAATTGGCATCGTCCATACAGGAGAACTTGAGCGTGGCTTGGTCAACTGCGATCACGCTCGATTGCACTGAGTTCTGCGAGTATTTAATGATCTGGATCTTGTTGTTTACCAGAATTGTGCACATATATTCTGTTAGGAAACAGTCGGTGACTATGGCAGGCGAATAAATACGGACTTGAGTAAGTGGAAAAAAGTTCAGCTTCTCGTGGATATGGTCTGTTTTGATGGAGGCTATAGTAACTTTCCCATACTCTGTTACACAACAGACATACTTCTGGTAATGACTGAATAATAAATTGAATACCGGAATTAGATACTTAAACAAATCGAAATGCGTCGAATTTCGGATTTGTATTTATAAATATAGAATATACCTTTACCTACCCAAATTTGTAGCAATTATCCAGAACACCAGGTTGATATGTTTTCCTATTGAAATCTGTTACAAACAGGGCAGTGTTGTAATTCAAAAGCAATTGGCATGGCTCCGAATTATCATCCTCTAAAAATAAACATTGGCTATTTTAAATTTACAGAAACTTTGCACAATATAAATTGCATTATTACCTCCAATGATGGCTGTGGAGGAAACTGGTAAATGCATAAGTCGGAAGCTCTTGAAGCTTCGCAGCATATCATCTGCTTTGTAGATATGCACAAAGCCATTTTCAAAACCAACAGAAATGTACTCACCTACAACAAATAGGTTTATATAAATATCTTAGCCAGTTGCCTAAATATGAATTACCAAACACATTCAAACAAAGTGTTCTTGTAATAACAAAAAACTCTACTTCAAAATCAATATTGTCACTGATGTTCTGCCAATAGTACCAGTTATAGAATATCATCCGCCACATCTTCACAGTCACCTTCTTCTCATGCTTTGTCAGAATCTGCATTAACTGATACTTAGGTATATCATTGTGGCAGCATCTCTTCCATATATCAGTTTCCTAAAAGATAAAACAATATTACAGCAACAGAAATTTATATTATCTGAGGGGGGCTCTACTATTTACCTTTGATATGTAAGCAACACAACCTTTCCAAGCAGAATCCACATGCTGTGCATTCATCAGCGTCTTACCATCACAGTGCAACAGGATATTCTCAACAACCTCAGGAGGAAACATTGCTAAAACTATGGAATTACTGACTATATTCTACAGAACTCTTTAGAACAATGAGAGATCTTGTTCATCAACTTCGCATTTGTTTCTGCATGTCATTTGTTTAGCATACCAACTGCATTTACTGCAATTTTTGAAGATAATTCGCGCGCGCAACAAGTTACGCAAATAAAATTTCAAAAGATTTGATCCTATTGGATTAAGGCAATAACACTATCTAGAATTGAGCGATAGGCTTTAGAAATTCAAAGAGGTTAGATTCTATTAGTAATAACAATTTGAACGATTAATTGAATTTTAAAATTCGCAACTTCTACAACCCAACATACTTCTAAGTAATAAAATCGCAATTTACTTAACGTTAAAAAATTATTGAATTCTTAAGTAACGTTATATATCTAAATTTTAAGCTTGGTAGGATTATATTCTTTAGTTTTAAGATGCGCAAATGAAAATTATAGAATATATGCGATGGAAAGGCGTAATCTGAGTTTATGTATAAACTAAGATATAAATATTTATTTTCTTTTGTTGTTTAGATAAATATTATGTAAACAACATTTTCAAATTTCTTAGTTCTTTGGTATTGAAGAACTCCTTGAGAATACGCAACTCGACGGACATCTGAGTAGTAGCGACGCGACTAAAAATAAATCCAGAAACTAAATATAAATAAATAGAGAAAAAAGAAGCAGAACACTTATGTGATACTACAAGAAGTTGAATATTATTTAAAGATATTTCTGAAGAGATATTATGGATGCCCTGCTGATGTTTGATGTGCTAATGTATATAAATGGTTTCTACTTTCCATTGTTTGCATTGGGGCATCCGCTGATGACCCTAGCAAAGTTCTACAGCAGCAATTATGTAACACCCCAATGGATTGTGGTTGATGCCTCAGTGGTAATAATCCTGATATTTGGAGACCTGATGAAACTGCTGTTTTACAAAAAGTTCAGGGAACAGCGAAAAGGTTTGCTGGGATGGGGGCCTGGGTTTAATTGTCTTTTTATAAATGATATCTTCTTTTAGTTCTTGCTGTAGTTGTAGCTGTGTTACTAACTTGCCTCTCATTAAGCTGCATCCTGTACATCCTGCTAAAGCAGGAGAATGTGATCAAGATGGAATACATCATTTGCTCAATAACTCTGGTGCTGTTTTCCAATGAGCTGGCCTTTGGGCTCTTGCAGTGCCTGCCATGCTGCAAGAAGATAGAGTACAAATGAGAAAGTGCTCTGCTCCACTCTGTATCCACAACACTAAACCATGCATGTGATTTATTTATGTTTATGACCAATGCATTCAAGTGTGTATTAATAAATCAGAATTTATATTTATACCCAGTCGATATTTAGGGATTATGAAATGTATTTCTCCCCCCAAAGCAGCAAAAAGGAGCATTCCTCTAATTACAGTCTCCTAAAAATACACCAATATTAATGAGCCAAGAAAACTATAAACTATAAATATATTAAAATATATACGGATATGAGTGGCATAACTCGGGTGAGCAATAAAAATGGATGCTCCATTGATGTTTGAGGTACTCCTGTACCTAAACATCTACTACTTTGGTGTCTTCGCCGGAAGCGAACTGCTCATCTTCTTTGCAAAGTTCAACAGCCCACTGCCGACACCCAACATCAACATAGATGGAGGTGTTGTTGGTGGCATCCTCTTTGCAGAGCTCCTGAAGCTTCTCAGTTTCCAGAAAGTCAGGCAGAAGAAAAAAGGTGAATATATAAAATTAAATTAAACATACCAAAAATAATATTTACATTTTTCGCGCACAAATATTTGCACGAAACAACAAGAATTTTTACACACATCATCTCTGATTGATCAGCGTTCCAAAATTAGTTCGTTTATAACAGACTTTAATACCTCGTATTAAGATGGGATAATTAAAACTGAATCTCACCATATGCAATTTACGGCCTGTTTTAGGAGCGGCCGATTTCCTAGCAATACTATTCACATCCGTCTCGATAACTGGTCTACTCTACATCTTCATCCTGCAGAGTCCTGTCTTGAAGATCGAATTAATCGTTTGCGGGATCATGTTTCTTCTGCTCACAACCGAATTCATGTTCGGTTTCCTGCAGTTCTTACCGTGCTGCAAGAAAAAAGAGTACTCCAACTAAAACCGTTAACAAAGATGAAGAAGTTAACAAACATGATCATTTGATGTCGTCTTGTAGTTATTGTACAGTAATCGTAATTACATAATCAATGAAAAATCAACCAAAGTATTCTTTAAATGTTTATTGTAGATTGTACCTTATTAACTGAAAGTATTATAGAAAAAAAAAATAATAAAAAATGACAAAAATATTATGTTTTTTATTTGAATTTGCAGCAGCGCCAATCTAAAATGTATATTCAAATGGAACTTTAAGAAAAGTTTTGTGTAATTGGTTGCCTCTGTTACAAAAGCAATTCTTTTTCGACCTGCTTTAACAATCAATTTAATCATTAGTTTAATAAAGTTAATTAAACATAAACTGAGAAGCAATGAGAAAAAGTTTTAATAAATTCAATTATAATACACGTAAAATATATCTACATTAAACACGCGCGAATTTGAAGAGAAAGTGTTTGTAGAAACCGTATTACTACTATTTATCTAAAACTGAATGAAAATAATACTTTACAATTTCATTTCTGCAAAATTGCAATATAATTATAATATTATCAATGATAATTAAATGTGCCAAATTATAATATCTATATCGCAAGCCGGACAACCGAAAGACCGTCTATTGACGTTCGAAATCCCGACTATATCGAAATCAATCTATACACTCGGGATTTTGAACGTTGGGATTTCCAACATCGGGATTTCGGTTGTCGGGCTTGCGATTGCCACCGACATGAAGAGATACTTGAAATATAAAAATATGAATACGTAATAAAAAGCATAAATAAAATGATTTTTTTAAAGGCACAAAATCATGGAACCTACTAATTTTAGATTTGATTAATATATACATATATATATAAATAATTTAATTAAAATTATTAGCCTATTAATTAATGTTTTATTTTACTAGAATGACATTCAATTTAACACATGTAAGTACCAGTAAGTACTGCACAAAACGTAAGTTGTTTTTCATTAAAGTTATTCATAAATTGAAAAATTACGAAACTTTTTCTTTCTTTAAAAGCGGCAATTAGAATATTGAAAACGAAATTAACATAACCATAATGTGTATTGCTAAACACATAGATTTATCCTCATTTTTCGTAGGATATCCTTGAAGCTGGGTGTGTGCTTGATTTTACCTATCATAACATAAACGTTACGAAATTGCGCGAACGAAGAAGAATGTATATATATATAAAAAAAATAACGCAATTCGTCTGTAATTCGAGAGAATAATTGTAATTGAGGAATGTATAATAATTTGAAGATCATCAAAATGGTTGCATAATAGTTTACATCAAAAATTGAAACGAATTTCGTTTGTCCGTGTAATTAGAATGTTTTATATCTGCGACATTGAACGAGTCAATAGGAGCCAAGTGCAAATATTACCTATGCAAATATGTTCATTGCCAATAACCATTTCCAACCTGCAGATGCATTCTATGTATATATTTACTCTCGCTGCAATTGAATTATTCTCTTCAAACAAACCCAAATTCCATACATTGTTTTAGATGCAAACATTATAGTAAACAATTGTAATTATTATTAATTTTTAATTCTAGATATAAACTTTATTTTATTAATAGTAATGAGAAAGAAATTTTGTTTATAAAATCAAACAGGTTTTACGATATTTGATTTTTTTTTTAATTTCGTAATTTAAAAATTATCTTGTATAGTGAGGAGATTGCAGTTCTCAATTGCTTGTAATTGTCGGTGCTAATTATATTTTAAGTGTAATAATTGGTCGTTTAGTGTATACGACTTTTTGTATAAAGCAGTTAGTTATATCGTTTATTTGAGCTGGATGAAATGGTGAGGTGAAAGAATGATGTGGCTAGCCTTCAAATGAGCAGGTGAAATTGGGGCTTCGATTATTCTACAGTTAAGTCTCGTACGTCGAACGGATCGTGCAACTAAATCAAGCCCGCGTGTTCCGCTGCTCTTCTTCGTTATGTGCAGAGCGATATTACAATGGTAGCGTTTTCGTGCGTCAGAATGCCCAACAGGGCCGTTCTTCGGCAACTGCAGTACCGCCACAGGTCGCAGATCGCCTTCGCGGAAAGCATCACCGAGGCGAAACCATACTCCGAAGTGCCCGGACCCAAACCCATTCCGATCTTAGGGAATACCTGGAGATTGCTTCCGATTATCGGGCAGTATCAGGTATCCGACGTGGCAAAGCTTTCAGGTATTTTCTATCAGGAATACGGGAAGATCGTGAAATTGAGCGGGCTCGTGGGCCGGCCGGATCTGCTCTTCGTCTACGATGCGGATGAAATCGAGAAGGTTTACAGGCAGGAGGGACCGACGCCCTTCAGGCCCTCAATGCCGTGTCTGGTCAAGTACAAGGGCGAAGTCAGGAAAGACTTTTTCGGTGATTTACCTGGCGTCGTCGGAGTGTGAGTATACATCTTATAAATATGTATACGTCCTTCGCAAACACTGCACAAAGAGAAGTTAAAATGTTTTATGAACAATTTATAGTTCATAGATACACAAAAAGCTGCAATTACCTTGAAACATTTTTCGATCAGTCAAACAATGTTAATTAATTATTGAATACAGATAATTTTGTCAATATCTTTAAGTATCTATTGTTTAAATATACATAAATATATTCATAATCATAACATAGAATAACTCTAATTGAATTTAATTGAAATTCTTAATTCAAAGCAATATGTATAAAAACATAAATTTAGATTAAAAGTAAACTGTAAATAACGTAAATTAAATAATTGTTGATTATTTAAAACTTACTTTCCATTCATGATTTTTCATTTGTTAGTGTGTAATTTGATGAAGTAATATTTATTTAATAATAATTTGTTGTTATTATAGATTATTTAAAACTATTAAAGTTCATTCCATATAATTTTTAATGGTAATTTAAATTAGTTATTAGTATGGATTCAAGTAGAAAATTAAATAATGCATCATTTTCTAGTATTATCAACAAGGAGAACTATAAAATTTCAATGAGCAAAACGCAGACAATATGTTGTATGTAATTCGATAATTATTCTGACACAATTTTGTTTCTTAATTCAAAATGTATATTATATTTTTTTTCCTTTCCACGGATTGCACACCTCATTAGCAATTAAACAGCAATTAAATTCATAACGCAATGCGTCGAAATCTAAAATTTGGCATTATTACATTCGAAATAAAAAAAAGTTTACCAGGTATTCAATTTTTACGATATTTTAATGAATTAACTTATGAAAGAGAATAATAGCGTCGCGCGTAAATCGTGTAGTAATAGTAGCGTATACCGGTTTAAGCGCAAGCCGTTGTTTACAATTTCATCTCGCGTAATTAGTCATAAAAGTGGTTTACCTCTTGTTTACATTAGGCACGGTGAACCTTGGAGGGAATTCCGTACCAAAGTGCAGAAACCGCTGCTGCAGTTGCAGACCGTGAAGAAGTACATCGAGCCAATCGAAGAAGTCACCGAGTTCTTCATCCAGAGGTAAAGTATTTGATTGAGTCTCACATCTATAAAATAAACGGATTTCATATTCATTAGATAGATTTCAAGATTCTTCAGTTTTAATTGGATAATGATTATTTTTTTCAGAATGATGGAGATGCGCGATAGAAACGAGGAAATGCCCGATGACTTCGACAACGAAATACACAAGTGGTCGCTGGAATGTAATTACCTTTTATTTTCTCTTCTTCGCAACGCCGATTCGCTATAATTAAAGCGAGTGAAATCGAGTTGAGTGCTTAAGCTAATTGCTGTCTTCTGCAATGTTCTTTTTTTTACGAAGGCATCGGAAGAGTATCGCTGGACGTGAGGCTTGGCTGCTTGGATCCGAATCTGCGTAGCGATTCAGAACCCCTGAAGATCATTAACGCGGCAAAGTTTGCACTCAGGAACATCGCCATCCTCGAATTGAAATTCCCATTCTGGAGGTACTTCCCAACGACGATCTGGACTAAATACGTAAAGAACATGGACTACTTCGTCGAGTACTGCAATTGATCTCTTGAAGAAATTGTTTTTTTTTTAATTAAAGATGTAATTGCTTTAGGATTTGTATGAAATATATCAACGAAGCCTTGGATAGACTGAAAACGAAGAACACGACGTGCGAGAAGGATTTGTCACTGATCGAAAGAATCCTGAAGAGTGAGCCGAATCCGAAGACGGCCGCAATTTTAGCTTTAGATTTAATCCTCGTTGGCATAGACACAGTAATTAATTCAACTGCTTTTCATTTGCATCGCCTGCATTCATTTACAAAAATCATTCCCTCAGATTTCCATGGCCGTTTGTTCCATCCTGTATCAATTAGCAACGAGGCCGGAGGAGCAGCAGAAGCTGTACGAAGAGCTCAAACGGGTTTTACCGGATCCAAATGTCAAATTGACCGCCGCGCACTTGGATGAGATGGTCTACTTAAAGTGCTTCGTTAAAGAAGTGTTCAGGTAAATGATATTTCGAATCATTTGAATAATACTGTTACCAAGGTAACAGCTGTAATATCTAGTGACCCGTTTCCAGGTGCTATAAAATTTGCAATAAGGTCATACATTTTTATGGAAACAATGAAAATAATATTTTTGTTGAGATTTAAATATATATATTAATTACGCTTTGAATCATTTATACTTCTAAAGAGCTACATATTTTGCAGGGTTTATTCAACTGTTATAGGGAACGGAAGAACGTTACAGAATGACACGGTGATTCAGGGTTATCATATACCGAAAGGAGTAAGTTGATGAGGAACGCATTATGCATAGTGTACACGTTCACTTAACTTTCACTTTGTGCAGGTTCAAGTTGTATTTCCGACTCTGATTACCGGAAGCATGGAAGAGTACGTTTCCAAGGCAGACGTTTTCAATCCGGAGAGATGGATGAAGAGGAAAGAGAATGAGCAGAAGCTGCATCCGTTCGCCTCGTTGCCCTACGGATACGGAGCGAGGATGTGCTTGGGCAGACGTTTCGCCGATTTAGAGATACAAATTCTCCTGGCCAAAGTGAGTTTTAATGCAAGTTTTTCAGTGGTGAAATATTATAAACAATTGCAATTTCAGCTAATTCGATCTTACAAGTTGGAGTTTCACCACGATCCGCTGGAGTACAAAGTTACGTTCATGTATGCGCCCGACGGAGATTTGAAATTCAAAGTTACCAAACGCAACGATTAATTGCTTGTATTATTATTATTTATGTTTTGTAAATATTTGTTACGCCAAAAAAAATGTATTATTATTACTTTATATTCTTTCCAGTAAACAAGCATCAATTTAGAATGTTACAATTATGATGAATAAAATTATTGTACAATCCGTAATATTAATTAATTAATATACTATAAAATAGATATTACTTCAATTGATAATATTTATTGGAATAGAAAAGTTTGCTCTTATATTAACTTAAGTATTAGTTAATACGTTTGATAGAGTTAAATGAAAATGAAAAAATTGTTTGTGTGTTTATGTATCGTCGCTTTATTACTCATACCATTTCTTTTTCACCTCTTTGCCTTTATTGGATTTGGATCCATGGAACGATTTCTTATACCTGTTTACCATTTTTGAGACTTTATCGTCCTTCACGAATTTGGGTTTCTGGACCATACCTTTGTTCACGCGACTCGCGCGCGCCGTCTTTTTGATCATGTCGATTTTCTGATTCTTCTTTGCAACCTTGACGTTCTCGTGGTGCATCTTGGCCTGCCCTTGCATGGCCCTTCCGCTGAGCCACTTCTTGCTGCCCTGCGTTGCGGTCATACCAGCAAAGTCTCCACCCTGAACGATCTCCACCTTCTTTTTCACGCTCGGATCGAACTCCTTGGAGAGTGGGTTCGTCTTCTTCGATTTGTTAGTACGCTTTTCCTTAATCTGGAGCATCACTTTATTCTCTATAGAGAAACATACGATTGGTCTCTTGTTGGACGTGAATATGCTCGGGTTGTTGTTGATGGATCTGAGAGCATTCAGAGCGTGCTCGTGCGTGGTGAAAGTCACGAAACCGTACTCTTTCGAAATGCCTGCACCTTTCTCGTCGAGTGTCTTCTTATCGCGCATTACGCGCGCTTCTTTGATCACAGCCTTTTCCCCGGCGTGCTTTTTCATTAGTGCACGCAACTTCGTGTCGTCCCAGTTCGTTGGTAAATTATAAACAATTATCCTGTTCGGCGACACGTACATAGTCAACTTCTTCAGCATCTGCGTCTTGAACTGCTCCAATTTTATCCTCCTCTGCATATCGCTGTTTGATACTCCTTGAGCAGCCTTCGTTCCGGCCATGATAACTGCAAAATCCAACATCAATTAACCAATATTTCTCAGAGATGAATAAAGCACAAACCTCCTTCCTTAACCAAATACAAATTCCTCGTGTCCTTCACATCCTTCTTATTGTTCTTCTTATCTAGGATATCGTTCCTGCTCAACGCAGGATGCGTGTCCAGAATCGTTCCCAATAATTGCAGTTCTGTACCCGCCTGCAAGCATTTCGTCGCATCTTCCTTTTTCTAAAAGCAAACAGAAAATAAACAGTTAAAATTAAATTAATTCAAATGAAACTTACATCAAATTTGACGAATCCCGTTCCTTTTGGATGTTGCGTCTTTGGGTCCATGCATATAACAGCATAGACAGTTGGCCCATATTGTGACATACATTCCTTCAAGTTCTCATTTGTAGCTTCAAAAGGCAAATTCTTAATGAAAACTGTTTTACCCTCTGTGACATCATTTGATTCTACTTTTATTTTTGGCTTCTTTTCATCTTTAATTTTTTTAGACTTCATATCTTCATCATCATTATCGTTGTCTTCATCATCATCATCGTCGTTTTCATCATCATCATCGTCGTCTTCATCATCATCGTCGGCTTCATCATCATCATTGTCTTCATCGTCATCATCGTCGTCAACGTCTTCATCATCATCGTCGTCTTCATCCTCATCAACCTCTTTTTCATCATCATCCATTTGTTCATCATCACTGATCTGACAAGGTTCCTCATCCATCTCTTCCTCCTTGATTTCAATATTATCCTTATTATCTTCAGCAACACTATCCATATTGTCTTTACCACTGTTGAAATGTTTTTTTTCAAACTCCCTGTTAAACTCTTTTCTGTTCATTTTCCTCTTGTGGTTCTCATAAAAATCCTTTGACATGGCAAAGTCTACTTTAACAGGTCTGCCCAAAAATGGTTTATCATTTGTATGAAACTGTGCTTTATGAGCATTCTGCACTGTATCATATTGTATGAAACAGCATCCAACCATTTTACCATCAGCTTTCTTCAGGATGTTGACCTCACTTACTTCTCCATACTGTTCAAAATGCTTTTTAAGATTCTCCTCTGTCGACTTGAAAGAGATGTTCTTAACAATTAGACGTGCTCTCTTCTCCTGCAACTTAACTTTGGTCTCTTTCTGTTCCAGCCGTAGCTTGGCTTTAAATTGCTCTTTCCGCTGAGCCGCGCCTAAAAACACAAGAATTAAATTAATAACTAAAAATATTTATAAAATATAGAAATACTTACTGACATGCACCATGGTTAATTAAATAAATAATAAATCCTCATGTATCAACAAACAGATAGGTTATGTCAAGTTATGTCTAAACTACATATGGGCATAACTGCATATGGGTTTAAAGCGAGGTTAGGTTATATGCCTACGCATACCAACAACAAGAAATTAAAGAAATTCTAGTTTAATATGCCTATATAATTATCATCTGCATAATTAAAATTAAAATACATATCAAATACATTAAATTTCATTGTGTCAGAATTATTTATATTAAATATTTATTGATATATTTGAACTAATTAAATGTTTTCTTTTTATTTGGTTGGTATGAAGAATTTGTCAATAATGGTCAATCAAAACATAAATAATGCAATGTTTTAACATTAAGATTTTATTTATTTATTGATTTAAATGATGGAAACGAAAATGAACGAGAAAGAACTGTTGCAATTTTACGTGGAGCAAGTGAAGCAGCTGAAGGAATCGTACAAGAAGGATTTGACTGATAAAGAGATGAACAAGATCTTTGAAGAGTGCTTTGCACTTCTGGATCCTCCACCCAAGGGCTATAGAAGTTGGTTGAAAATATACATATTTCTTTTTTTATTCTTGCTGGTTGGATCTTATGTTTTGATGCAAGTCCACCAACCTACCTCGAGTATTGTTTTGAGGAATGTTCAGGGATTGATTTATCCTGGCCTGAAATTTGTAAGGTTTCTCTCCATGCCAATAATTAAACATTTTTCTTCATTAACAGGTGTGTTTTATTTTTCTTAATTTTAGATTTTTCATGTAATGTAATCTAATAATTTATTGACTTTCAGAGTTGTATGATGAGAGTTGCTTGTTGGAAAACCCTTACTTCTATGTGAACAACATGGAATGTTGGCCCTGTGAAAACGTTTATTCTGTTATAAATGCAACTGAATTGGAAAACCAAAGTATATTTGATTCTGGTTCACCATTTATTACAAATGTAATATTATTTTTCTAAAAAAGATAATATATACTATAATTGTATTCATTTCAGTCGAATCAAGGACCAGTTTATTTTAAAGATATTCAAAGTTTGTACTATAGTAACAAGATGGTAATTGATCAGCATGCGGGCCACGTAAAATCCAACAAGAACATAAGCTACGTAGAAAATTTACTAGAACTGGAAATGACTGAATCATCAGATACGCACATCAGCTGGAGGATAAATCGCATGCTTCCAGCGCAGATCATTCGAAGTCTCTTTCCCAGACCTCGCATGATTTCCGAATGGTCTGGACAGAGTATCGAAAGGTACGTGATGATCGATGGACCCAAATCGGAGGGCTTTACTCTACCGAATTTCGAGTGCAGTTATGTGTCTGTAACGCAGGGTTCTGGTGAGCGAACCGTTGTCCTAAAACCTACCAAAGAATGCGGACACAAGTGCCGCAGCATTTCTGTGATTCTCAAAGAAAACTACACACGTAAGTCGAAAATTATGAAATTTATTTATTATTTTCATTCAAATTTAATTTAACGAATTAATATTTCAGTGTGGTACAATTGGTGGTATTGGAGACCGATCAGCTTGCCGATTCAGAACTCGACAAACGTTTCCGTCTCCTACATAACTTCGTATTGTTGAATAATATTCAAATGTGTATAACTTATTTTAATTAAAAAATAAATAGTAATAACTTAAACCGCGCACTTTAAATGTAATTTTTAAATAACCTTTCCAATGACCAGGTCTGACTATAAACAACAATTTCGCTTACGCGCTAATCGAATTTCTTTTTCAGTTTGTCTTTGAACAAGATTGGAATCAGAGAAAGAACGCCGAAAAGCATCAATAAGCTGATAGAGGTCCAACTCATGGCGCTATCTGAAGCGGACATGTTGTGCAGAGTTTGTCCGGCTTGGAGGGCTATAAACGACGGCGGAGCCACTCCGATGAAGGTGCCCAATGCGAATGGCACGAGTGGTACACCTATCACAGGCGCTGTTAAATTGATGAACCAATTTGGCAAGAATGGCGTGACTCGCAGGAATATCACATAGTTCAGCAGATTGTCTTTGTGTTTATTCACTGTCACTGCCCAGGCGTTAGCCTTCTCTGGAAAGTATTTTTGGATCAGCTTTCTGCCAACGAATTGGGATATCATGAAACAAAGGCTAGCTCCCAACGCCGAACACGTGCAAACCAGCACCAAAGCTATGAAGAACGGGAACAAGAATCCCGATAATACTGATAGAAATAACGAACCTGGAATTGCAAACGTCTGTAGGCTATGTAGTAACATTAAGGAAAACACAGGTTTTCTCCAATAGATTTGCATTAAATATTATGAATTAAGGATACAATATGTAGGTGATGCAAACGCCGGAAAATACTTGATAAAAATGGTCTTCTTTGTACTTATTCAAAACTGTCCCCAACATCTTTGCATCATCCAAGTTCCAAGGAATTTTGATGTGTGTCTTCTCATCTCTAAAATCAGATTATTTAAACTCACTTATATATAAATTGTTGTATGAAATGTAATTTGATTATCTGCAGATGGATGCAGACAAAATATATAAGTGCATTTTTATCAATATTAAGCAATTAAACTTTGTTCACTCTTTGCCTATATAGATGCATTTAAAATTTTTGTAATATATCATTATGTATACAAATTACTTACTCTGTTAATTTAGGAAAACTACTGTAAATTGCAAAAAGAATGCACAGCGATGTGCAGAAGATAGCTCCCAGGTAAATAAGGGAATGTCTTGTACTGAACTTGTTCTCAAATACATCTAAAAGAGAAAACATAATATTAGAGTTAGGTGACAGTTGATTGTTAAACTTGAATGGGTAGGTTAAATAAAATAAACAATTGATGCAAAAGTTGAGTACTGTTGTGTGCAATCAGGACATCAGCCATCTCCACATAATCACTGTAATCCCTGTAACTCTTCCTCCCAGTGGGAATTATACTCCTCCGTTGAATGGAAGAGGAAATCTCTGGACTCTGCACAGCACCGCAGCTGTAATATTCACCTTCAATTTGACGTCTTCCAGCCATCTCGATTTTCACTGTTTCTCTGATGATTTTCCAATTTTTAATGTTGTTGCCAGCAGTCGTGTGCTCTTTAATCAAAAACAATTCATCTTACACGGATGCCATATTTCTTTTGCAAATCGGAAGACCTTAGCGAGCTGCTATCTAATAAAATGACGGGAAATTAGATAACGGCTTGCGCTTATCTGGATGGCGATTGTTTTTAAAACGATTTGGGCATTCCTCATGGGACGAAAACGATCAGATGATAATTTATGAGGATAGGAAAATGCAACATCGTCAAAGCGCGTGATCGCTGACGTTAAGCGCGCGCGCTTCCAGTTGCATACTCGACTATTTGAATTTCCCTCTCTCGACGATAATTCCATTTAATTACTTACCATAATCGCTTAAGCCTTCGCAGATAATAATTTTTAATAAATAAAGTCTGCCATCTACAAATACAATTTTTTTCTTGCAGACGTCTCCTAATTTTCGAAAAAAATAAAAAAGAAAGCAATTTATTACATGATATCAGCTTGATCATTTGCATTGCTATGATCGTTGTACCGTTAATGTTCTATTTTTACACGCCAAAAACTTGATGTATTGTGTGTGTAATTGAATCATGCACTGGATTAGTGCGCGACTATAAAGAGAATCGTACATATCGTTGACTGATTCATGTTTTTTTTAAATATATATATTAAATCTCGTTTTGTTGTCTTATCTCAGGACATAGCATTAAACAAATAGCCAGAATAAACTAAATAAAATTGAACCGCATCGGGTCTGGCCTTTATCACGAACAAACTTTAGTCGCTCGTGAGATGTGATCGAGTTGAAAAGCGTGATTTTTCTATCTGTCCGTGCATATTTGTGTGTGGGTAGTTTTCATTTTTGTTTTGTGAGTGTATATTGTTTGTTGTGTATTTCTACGAAAGTTTTAAACTCAAAGAACGCAATTTTTATTTGTTTTTAAACAATTTTAGTGTGTTGTTTTTATTATTTTGTGAAAAAGTGAAAACTCTTTCATGTTTATGAGATGGTCTTTGGAAACTCGGATAAGCACAGCAAACTGCATCACCACGGTAAGTAACCTGCATAATAAATTTAAAAACAAAAGTAGAGGGTTGCAAATCTACATTGCACAATGCAGACTTTAAACAATGAAAAGTGCAGTTGCGCAAAGAGCGCGCGCGACAAGTGAAAGTCGAAATTGGATTAAAATTTATGACGCGATGCGTTTTTTTTTTCTACTTCTTCATTTCATTCTGCAACGTTTTCCGTGACAAATTAAAGAAAACTTTACACATTTTTTTATTCTCTTTCGTACCTTGTAATCTTGATCAATCTGGAGCGTCAGGAATATTCAAGTTTGGAACGGTTAGAGATAGAGATAGCATTGATTGTAGTATTGTTTCGTCCTCCTTTTTTTTTTTTCGATAACTCATTATTTATCTACGTACATTAGCTACGGAATTTTGCTCGAAATTTCAGTCAATATTGTCGTATGCGCTTAAGCTTTTTTTTCGGGGGAACTTCGTGAACATAAGTGACCTGACTTGAATTCAATCAACTTGTTATGCAATTTAAAAAGCGTCTTTTGAATGCACTTTAAAACCCATTTTCTTTATTAAATTGAATGTTATATATAATATAGAGATTATATAAATAAAGTTTTTTTTAGAAATTTCATACGGATCAAAACACTACTCTCCATTTATGACTATCAGTATTGTAACCAAAACAAAAGATTAAAAAATTCTCGTCACGAGCTCTTTTACCGTACTTTTCTTATAACCATAGCAACGTATAAACTTTAATATTTGACTAAATAGTAATATTCATCGCTTGTTCTTTGGTAAATGACTAACGCTGATAATTTAATGGTTACAGTATTTGCATCACGTATATACTATGTATTTAGGAACGCTGGAAAAATGTTCAGCATTCTCACAATATTTGTCCATCATTAGCACAATGTCAATTGCGGGCGCCAAAACGTCTGATTTTGTAGTCATTCACTAATTTAAATACAATTTTGTATGGAAAAGATTTATAAATATTTTTAAATTCCATATCTTCTTGCATTACCGAAACTCAAATATTTTCTCGATACATATTTGCAGATTTAGTTTACTGTTTTTCAATTATACAAATATAAATATGATGGTGACAATGGAAATTGTTATAAAAGGAACTGAACCGAAAAGAAGGAATTGTGACCTTCGAGTAGTCCATACAATCGAAGATAACAACAAGATATACAATATAAATATGTTTGCAAGTTGATTTAAGATATAGATATTATTCAAAATAAACAAAAATAAACCGAAATTAAAGTTGGAGGGAACATTAAAATTATCAATAACAAATAAATACTTATTGTGCGCATACTTATACATTTCAGTAGCATTAAAGAAAATGTTATGAGCCAATTAAATGTAGTTATAGTTTTAGAATCATTATTTATTTTTAGAAAAATAAACATTTCGTTAATATTTTATTGTATTATTACTACTACTAAAATTTAATGCTAATTATTAATAATTTCTAATATTTATGTATTTAAAACATATATTGTTATAGTATACTTTATATAAATTACTTTTTGGAGAAATAATTAATTTTCTCACATGAAATTGTTTTATTTTAATGAATTAATTAAAAAACAAATAAGAAATGATATAAATGTGAAATAATAGAAACATAATCAAATTTTTTATTGATTTTGTGTTTGGAATAAAAAGAAGAGACGTTTGAATTTGAGCGGGAAAGGTGCTCGATGGGTGCGGATGGTTTGCGCGATGCGACGGTAGATGGGGTGCGCGACCGGTATCGAGTGGTGTCCAGGGATTAGTTCGGGTCGGGCCGGCAGAGCGAAGCGCGCCGTGATTGGTCACGATATTTCACGAACGGGTCAATGTCTGAGCATCTGAAATTAATGGTGAGGTGAGACCCGTTTGCGATTTGCGGAACGGATAAAAATGGTGTAAAACAGTCGACCCGGGTGGCAAATAATGAGGTGTACCAAACAGATCGCGTGAGCGTCCGCACGATATTCATCAGCACATCATCGAGAACAGCAGCAGCAAACAAAAAGCGAGTGAACGCGAGAGTCTACCCTGCTGCCGCGGTGGAAGGAAAGAAGGACGAAGGAGGAAGATTCTATTGCAGATTCCGGAGATCGAAGTGAGCGAAGGAAAGAAGAAAGGCGAGAGATATCTGTCGGTGGCGGTGCAATACATCATCATAATACTCTCTATTGCTAGATTCAGTGTGCGTGAGTGAGCTGCTGCAGGAGGAGATATAGTGCGTGTGGCAAAAAGGAGGACAAGAGTGCGACACAGCCAATCCATCCATCACACGATCATCATCATCCGTTGCTGGGTAGGAAGTAGGTAGTGTGTAGGGTATTTCGAAGGAAAGAAATGTGATTGAGAAAAAGGGAGACCATCATCATCAACGTCGTCTTCGTGGTTGTCGCCGCCGCACGCAGAACCCTGCGAAGCTGCTCCCACAACACCCGAGAGAAGTGCAGCAGTACCCACGTACTACATACTTAGAGAGCCATACAACAATACTACATAGCAAATAGAGAGAGAGATATATATAATAGATACATTATATATATATACGTATACGTAGTACACGGACGGCGTATAGGATAGATAGATAATATAGCGAGCCGCTATATAATATATATTCTGTGTGTAAGACGCCCGGAGTTAGGCATAGTTAGCTAGCTGGTAGCAGTTAGCATCCTCTCTCCGACGACGAATAGAGAGAATATACATCGCGTTTTTCGTGTGTGTCGACACACCGAGTGTGGGATTTTTGGTGGAAGATATTGAGTGTGTGTGTGGTGGAGTGAGATGAGCGGAAGGCCGAGAACGACGTCCTTCGCGGAGGGCAATAAGCAGCCGTTGAATCCGCCACTCGGAGGCATCAAAATCAGCAGTAAGTTTCAACGCCAAGCAAGACCCCCGGGTTCCCCCTTCGACGAAGAAGCCAATCCAATCCTAGACCCCGTGCCCCCCTTCGTTCCTTAGCCTTTTAACACAGACACACATACATATACGCATATATATATATATATATACACGCCTGCATACATACATACATGCACGCACACATCCAACCTAACTGACGGAGCTCGCCACTTCAAACATGGCCGCCCACAAATTCGAGCCCGAAACAATTGCACACGCACACGGCCATCCCGTTAAATCATGCCGCATTCCCTCGCACCCATCGAAACCAACCAACCCATTAAATCCTCCCCATCATCATCACCGTAACCCATCATTCCTCATGCTCGACATCATCATCGAACCCATCGCATCATCGCCATAACCTCCTCTCTCCCTTCCCTTCATCCATCCGTCTCTTTCCCTCGCACACGCACGCAAGTGCTCCGTCACTATCTGCATCCCCGCCCACTTCTTTCACCTCACTAGGTCATTGCTTTGTGCCCCTCGACCAAAATTCGTTATGTACATATTTTTAGTTGCGGACGACATTCCGCATTGATAATGATGATTAAAAAGAATGACCAAAAAAATGTATGAAATAAAATAGACCAATCATCGTCGTGCGCTCGCTCCTTCATTTTGTTTGCTCGTTCTGGAAAAAGAGATACCGATTTCGTAATGATCGCAGCACACATAATCAATACCCCCGACGACGACGGGGCAACCACTCTAAACTGTTCGTGTTTCACATGGTGGAGCAGCAGCGGGTCACCGCGATTACGTTTTATTATTTACAGCTGAAATTCCCTTTCGACCATTTACAATTAATATCGTTTTTGCAGCATAAAGGAAACTGCGCCTTAAAAGAATGCAGGCGAAATTATGATTTCCCCCAACCTTTAATCGAATTCACAAAGAATAACCGTTTTGACGTTATCAATGTAACCGTTATAATAAATAATACGATAGAAAGTTCATTTACTCTGCATATCAAATTTGATTTAAAATAATTGAATAACTTTATAATGTGGGAATTTGATATTCAACATTTATTTAAAACTAAATCTTCATTTTTAGTAATAAAAGCCAAACTCTTAAGTCGTTAGCAATTTAACGTTTTTAATCAAAGTATTCATATACCATGCGCATTTAAAAAATAACCATTATTTTGGATATTTAAAGTTTTAACCGTAAAGAGTCGGTTTAAATTAATTTAACAACTTCTTAAATACAGCGTAATATAATTTTCCATTGACCTTTAGTTCAATTCTCAAACAGCTTCTCTGTTTACATAGTTTTATAATTTAACAAAGACATATTTTCACTTACAAACATTTTCATATTTATAAATGTGCTTACTTAATTGTATCTCCAATTTGGGATTATGAATATATTAAAAAAAAAACTTATGTATCGATCCTAATCATTCATGCGTTAGAGAAAGTACACTAATTCCCATAATATGCAAATTGACTTGTGCATTACTGTACGTATATTTATTTATAAATTACACATGAGCTGGCAAAGTGTTTAAGCACTAATAATTTTAAGCGATGGTTCTTTTAATATCCATTCTTTATTGAAATTGTACTTATTTTTTTCATTATAATTCTCATTTCTGTTCATGATTTCTATACATGACACTTTTGTTTTCACAAATAGGTACTCAAAAGAAAACAAAAGTGTTACGTATCAGAAAATAGAAAATTGAGTCGAAACATATTTCACTTGCTTTTTAATATACTTCTGTGAAACTAAAATTATATCGTAATTGAATCCTGCAATTACGTTCATCAGAAATTTCAAATAACAGTTTGCTGATGATTTTCTCATGTGTTTTAACGTCTGCAACAAAATCGTATATTCATTCCGTGGATTTTCGATAGGTAAACTACACATTATTCGTTTTGCTGCTACACCGACATATGACACTTTTCGTTTCAAGGTCTTCCGGATTTGTAACATTACCTCCGCGCACGGTTTTAACTTTTTATTTTGTCGTGCATAGCTAAACCGATGGAAATAACCGTAAACCTCGGTGATTGAATATTTTTAACGAACAATTAAATGGAGATGGGAATACCGTATAAGAATTGCGTTTTTCACGTGAATCAATTTATCACGTTTCCTTCGCTCGTTGCATCAAGAAAAAGAAGATTCAAGGTTTACAGTTTACGTAACAGCTGATTTGAATCAGAAGAGTTTTCCAGCATTTCAACCCAGAAGATGTTCAAGGTCTTGTGCAATGCGATAAACCATCCGCTCGGCTCTTGTGTTCAGTTCGCAGGGGAGTGCACTTCGCTGATTAGATCCCGAAATTGCTTTAGTCACATCCAGATAATGTAAACCGAAATTGCGCAGGGATTACGTAATTAATTTAATTTTATGCGACGTTCTGATAGTGCTAGCAATATATTTGTATGCGTTGTAGTTATAAAGCACACGAGATTTAGACGCAGGTAGAAAGTGGTGAAAGTTTCGGGTTTGGAGTTTTCTCCGTGCAAGTAAACATTGGACAAAAATGATGTATACGCATTTATTATTTTAAAGTTCTATTGAGTTGATAAGTTATAATAAGAAATGACTTAATTTGAAAGTTAACTAGGTGACAACGAATTGTCAGGATTACGATTAATTTAAAGCTAGAGTCTACAGTGCGTGTTGATTAATTCAGGGTATAAAGTGCGGACAGGTTGTGGCTATAACTTGTTATAATGTCCGTTGAGTTATTAAGTTATTAAGACTTGTTACAAGTTTACGAGCGTATGAACGTCATCCATTTACAGAGCGAAAGAAGATAGGTAGATGGCAGTCCAAAACGCAGTTTTTTTTTTGGTTCTTGAAGCGACGAAGGTTGTTGGTGCGAAGCTGGTAGGTACAGTTTCACTCCATGAGGACGCACGCACACGATCTTTGTTTTCTTTTTATAGAACAGACACGGATTTAATATTCATGGAGCGCTTCCTTCGAACTTCCATCCGCGATAAAAAAAAAAAAGACTGCGACGTTGACACTGATAATATTACATTAATTTCGTGTTATCGCGTAATACTTTAGATATATCTCTCGGGGCCGGAGCGAAACATGAAGAAGGAGGCCAATGAGAAATGGGGAGATGCTATTTCGTTTTGCTCTTGTTTACGTCTTTTTTGCACAGTCATCTCCGATTTCTATCTCGAAATTAGTTCACTTCTCCAGTGCAGCCCTGTTTAATACGTTTTGGATCGACATTTGGGTCATCCGAAGTTTGTCGTTTTTCGGTCGAACAACTAATTGAGTTAAACGTGAATCGCGTGAAATAAGTAAATTTGTGAAAACACAAAAAAAAAATAATCGTAAAAATAGTTGGGGAAATATTGATCCGATCCGTCGGATGCGATGACGTTGCGTAAGCCCGTCGTTGGAAATATCGATCCGAATATCTCTGGCAATCACGCGGCGGTGGTGTAGGAGAAGGGCCCACTCTTCGTTCGACCCGACGACCCGCCGCCACCGTTGCATTCGAGGCGGCGGCGGCTGTTATATAATTTTGCTGAATGTTAATTTACAAGCACCCGGATAACAGTGCCGTTGCGCAACCATCGAAAAGTCAATTGTTCATTAATCGTCTCTTGTTTATTCCTTGTCCTTCTCGATCACAGATTCTTGAGATCGATAAAATAATGTCAAATTCAAAATTAACTACTTGAGAATCACGTGTAAAAAACCCTGTGGTCTACAGTCCATGCAAATTAATTATTAATACAGACTTTTGTGTGTATGTTGGATATCGATGACTAATTTATGAAAAATGGAATGATTAATGACATCATTCGCTGAGTGCATTTACATATAAAATTTATATTATTAATAATTATAAATATCAATATTCCAGTATTTATTTATGATTAAAGCCAATAATGTCAAATTAAACTGCATGACATTTATTAAACCTTTGAGTTTTATTAATCACAAAACAAATGATTTAGATAAGTTGTAGAATTGATATAAAGTATGTTTTTTTTTCACCGATATGTCAAAAAAATGTTTGTTTTTATAAAAATATCTTTATGATTAAGGACAATTGGAAATTGGCATTGTGTTAATGATTTAATGATGTTAATATTAGTTATCAATTTGATTGAAAACATAAATTATTAAATATTATTAACTTGGGTTCATCGAATTATTATTCATAGAAATTTTCACTATTTCTTTCTCAAATATTAATTTATGATAATATATTATTTCATTATAATGTATCGTTTTCTTTCTACGCAATTTATCCGGTATTCGTTTGAAGTATGCGTTCTCATCTCGTTGGCTTTTCTGGTCCGAATTTTTGAATAAATGTCAAATCGTCCAGCTGTTTCGCTAATTGCACAATGACGTCCGTTGGGGTTATTTTTCGGTACGTAGTAGTGGTCGGTGTACGTATGATTTTTCCGAATAGAAAAAAAAAGTAAGGAGCATCCTAAAAATACGGGATCAGCTGAGAAGGCGTGGAGGTCCCTCCTCTCTCTCTCTATCTCCCCACGCGTTCGATTTCGACGGTCAAAAATAATCCCGGGTTCCGTGGAACCCGGTTATGTAATTCCCGCAAAGTGCACTCGCACATTGCCTTCGCTTGCAGCTGATGTGTTTGTGAGTGAGTATATAAGTGAGCATCATGTATCTCTGTGTATATATGCATGTATATATAATCGAAAATCCTTGCCAAGGTCACGCACAGTGGTTACACACAGTGTGGCAACCGTTCTCAAAACATCCATTAATCATTCGAACGAGTTCACTTGAGCCACCGACTTGCTCAATAATTGTCATTGAACCGTTTGACAACCGCCTCCGACGCGCCGCCCATCAATGACCAACGAACCCATCGTTCGATCCATCTAACTGAGCAGTGTACGTATTTTTGTTGCATCCCAGTTAAGAATGATCTAAATGCAACATAAATCAATTACGTAATTCACTTCCTGTTTTAACGATAACTAACCAATTCATCAG